GAAGGGCAGTGTGCCGTTCGACAGCGCCACGCTTACGGAGGAACAGGCGGCTCTGAGATACACGGCGCTGCTGATTATCATCCAGCTGATTGAGAGTCTGGAACCGCTGCTCAAGGAAGTCAGTGGGAAGAATCAGGAGGAGTGGCAGAGGTGGTGGTATGTCTCTCTCCAAGAGACTCTGGGAATGAATGCTAATATAACGCAGGGGCTGGATGATGACGAATCTGCTGGAACAGAAAGGCGCGTCGAGTGGAGAGTGTCTCGAGATAGGCGTGTGGTGGTGTAAGAAGGTGTGAGATTACTTGCGTACCGTCTACTGCTGTTTTATGATATCCCGGCCCATTCGAGTGCCCAAATGTTGACTTCTTGGACGAACTCCGGACGAGGCTTATTCCGTTGAATTTTTAACGTAGCGCTATTTTATCGGATCGTATCGCTGGCGCAATGTTCGATATCTTTTCAAATAGTACCTGTGCATTCATTCATCAGCTTTTCACTTCCCCCTTCACGCCCCACCTAGCTTATCTTACAATGCTTCAATCTCTACACATATTTAGTAACAGCAACTCAATATCTCATTCGTCCAGGCTTACCTTTCTTCACAAACTCTGCCCTCTTGATTCCCTGCTTGATCTGCTCTTCGTCTGTCAGGTGCTTCTGACTCGCAAACGCCTTGTGCAGACGTGTGCGGTAGTACTCGTATCCCTGGGGGTATTCCCGGCCCATGTAGAGTAAGTCTGCAGCGCGTGAATTGGTGCGCCAAATTTGCACGCACACATACGGGCATACCTTTGTATATGCGCATGACCTGGTGGCGTAGCGTGGGCTTCGGCGCAGCCATTCTGTATCCCTGGGAAAACGCAGTTTAGAAAACGATGCAGCCTAAACAGGTGGTACTGTTCGAGATCTTTTGATCCGAGAAAATGACACGATGTCGTTCGCAGACGTAGGTACTGGTGATGAGCACTCGGGTGTTTAGAGAGCGCATCCCGACTGACTGACTGACGTATGTGCGTATGTACCCTCGGCTTCATTCCGCTTTTGTCGGAACCACGCAGTTTAACATCCTACAACCACAACCACGATTTCTCCTCCAAACATACCACAACAATGCGCCCCCTCCTCCCCCGTACGCCGCTCAAACATCCCCTGCTATCCCTTCGCCAAACCCGCTTTCAATCCTACTCTGCCCTCCCACCCCGCTGGCTCACGTCCCTCCGCCCGCGCCTCGGGAAATGCATAACCTTCGGCCTGTCCCCCGCACAAACCCACGAAGCGGGGTCTATACTGCAAGAAGTGAGTAGCGATTGGCGCGAGCTGTTGGCTGGGAGTGAAGGGTTCTTGACGAGTAAGGAGTATCGGGGGTTGTACAGGCAGGAAGTGGTTTGGGGAGAGATGGTAAGCATGTCTGGGGTAGTGGATGTGAATGTGGATTTGGGCTAATAAGTTGTGTTTTGCGGGGGATAGGATAGTATGGTAAGTCAATCACATTGGGTCATTGGGTTTGTGGAGAGGGGAGCTGATTGAGGGTGAAGGGTAACTATTACTACTATGGTTTGGGCTATGGTATGCGAGGGCTGATGTTACGTAGGACATGTCAATAACGTCATGTACAACCGGTACGCCGAGTCTGCGCGGGTCAACTGGACACGCAACTTTGCGGCGAGTGATAGGAAGCATGAGAAGCAATGGATGGAGCTCATTACGCCAAAGAGTGTGGGGTTGATTTTGAGAAGTATAACGACAGATTATAAGTTTGTGAGTGGCGCTTTCTTCATTGCTCTTGGGGGCTTGTGGTGGAAAGGAGGGGATAATCGTGCGCTACCGGACGACGGCATGGTTGTAAAGAACCTCCTCTGCACATCTGCGGATTATGCCGATGTTTCGAAGCATTGGAATTGGCACTTCCCGGCACAAGACTTTACCATACGGATGCCCCGGAATAACTTCAAAACACACCAAGCTGACTGTGTCCAAAGCCCATGAAATGGCCAGACAGGTATCCGTCAGCTTCCATACAGGCCATACCTTCCGCTTACCCCTCCCCAGAATCACGGTCCTCCACAAGCTCCGGACGAAGCCCGCTACCGACGCTGATCACTTCATTCTCGACGTTCTGATCCTGTCTGAAGTCCATCGTCGGCCAGCAGCGCGGTGTGTCGAAGACATTGTCGTCTACGATTATACCAAGGCGAAGAAGTCTGCTCTACCACCGTTTATGGTTGATAAATTCAGAGAGACGTTTGCCTTGCAGGAGCAGGCAAAGGAAAAGAATGGAAAGAGGGTGCAGGACTTGCTAGACAGAGTGAGGAGGTTGGAACAGGAAAGCTGGGATAGAGAAGGTGCAGTAGAGGACATGGGGAGTGCGACCTAGAACCGATATCCGGGCAACTGACGAGATGGAGCACGATACGACACCGAGAGAAGGGAAACCTTTGTGTATCGGTCCTCGTTAATGCTTCATGCCTCGGTTCGAACCATTTCGAAATCTTGGTTGATGAGGCATACTCTGCTCCAACGACGTGCGAATACATTTATGTCGATGTGTTCTTCAAAAAAATGTAAGTGGCGTTCGAAAATCGGTAAGGTGAGTGGGTGCTTGAAGGACCCGACTTTCTTGCTGTAACGATCATTCGCAAAGAACTTTGGAATGAGATCGAGGCTGCCATTTTGTGCATCGACATGATACTGTGAACGCCTTTAGACCATTCAGTAAGCGAGACTGTACGCACCCCGGTCTCTCATTTTCACATGTCGACTTGCCGTTATTGGCAGACTCACACGCACTGCATCTGCCTCAAGCTCCTCGGAAGCACCTGGTTGCAATGCTCTACCTCAAACTGCGCCTGCAATCAGGCAAGTTGGCCGCACTCTACCATATCATGGCGTGATCCTTCCGCTTCGATCGTCTTTTGGTCACAGCCCGACTGGGATGATCTGCACGCCCGTTGGAGCGCGTGACTCTCCGGCTTGCCTTGTTTGAACTTCAAGCATGCTGCTATTGGCTGTGGCGCCGTTTAAGCTTCGCGCCGGCTCCTCGCGGGCAATGACGAAGCGAAGACTGCAGGAGCATCAAGCGTGCCGAGGAAGTGATGGGAATGTTCCGAGCCGCTCCCCAACACAGCCAGCGTACCTTTTTGAGGCGTCGTTGCTTACATGTGCTCGGCTACGCTGCTGACGTGCATTCGCAATGCGGACGCCGTCTGAAACACAGCACAGCCAGGCGATGAGGTGTGCGAGCAGATATCTGGCGGGCTGCGGGGTCCATCGACGCAAGCGGAACAGCGATGTGCAATGCGCGATGCGGTGAGCAGCCCACGACGAGTGCCATTCATTCGCTGTGCAGCCAAAAGTGACACTCTCCATCAGGGGTTCCTGGCGCATGCAAATGAACAGGCGGGCTAAATTGGCGTCCGACGTAACGTGATTCGCTGCAGCCGTGCTCTAGCATGTTTGCTGTATGTCGACGCGCAATGTGAGGTCTGGGGCGACGGCTGCGTGAACTCCTCGAGGCTGTGCTAGGGCGAGTGCGAGCATCGGTGGTGGGCACTGGGGACGGCAAAAATAGCGATGGGATTTCTCATGTACTCGTCAAAGAGCGGAAAAGTGAAGCTTCTTTTCTGGCTAGGGCTCTCGCCGGCGCGTCCTCTTTCAGGCGGCATGACGGCGATCCCTGGAATCGGAGTCTGTTCGGCGGGCAGGATCTGCGTGCCAGCGTGAAGTTGCATCGCGGGTGGCAGCATCCAGCGGATAAGGCGCTGCAGTGTCTATGTGCAGGATGATCAATGATGTGAAGATGCAGTTGTGTCGTGTGTTTGTTGCCTTGCTGGCCGTGACTTCCCCATTGCGTGCTGCAGCGGACTAGGAAGACTAAGGAGGAAGCCACGCAGCAGCGGATGGTTCAAGGTTTGCTGCATGTCAAGCACTTTTGTCTGGTAGCCGCTAGCCCTCAGATCTGTCAAAGCCTGCACTGGCCGGTCGTCTGTGGTTGAGCGGAGAGTGGCACACACGTTTACTAGCAAGCTTGGCACTGCTCGATTCCGCTTGTGCTTGCTTGCTTCGCACCTGATCGTGATTCTCTTCCCACAACCTCTTCCCACCCCAGCACACGACACCCCCCGGAATTCCCCACCGAGAGCAGCGGCTCCCACTCTTCCAGTCTGGCTCGTCCTGTGCAGCAGTCGAGTCGTACCGGGGAGACCGCCCGCTCGCCAGCGCACCGCCTTCTATGGTAGCGAAGGGAAAGAAGACCGCGGCGCACCAGCATGACAAGCGACACGAGAATGGCAACGCGGCACCGGGCAAGCGCATCACCAAGCAAAAGAGCAGCTCGCAGCTCAACGGCCATGCCAACGGGAGGCCCCAGGCGTCGACGCCGCCGCTCCCCAGCCAAGTAGACGACCGCATGACGCAGCCGGCCAGCGCCCACGACTCCGCCTCGGGGTCCAGCGTGCACCACACCACCATGGCCGCTGCCGCCTGTGGAGTCGCAGAGGAGCGCGCGCGAGCTTCATCCGACGCTTCGCTCGACAATGGGGACGCCTGCCGCCTGTACGACACGGGCAGCGGCCCCTTCGACCCAATGCCGCCCTCAGCCCTCCGCCGTCTCGACGGCAATGCCTCCAAGTCTGTCTCCATGGCCAGCATCCTCTCCGTGCCCGCCACCATTCTCACGTCCTGTCCTCTGCGGGACGTCCTCGCCATCCTCATCATCCTATTGCAGCTACCCCCCACCGTCCTCACCGTTGTACAGTTTCTATTCGCTACACTCACATTCGTCCCTCCCCAGGCCGGAACCCCCCTCTCCGCCCTCTCCGCGTTTCCCTCCTTCACCGACATCTTCCAGGGTTCTGGCGGGACACCATCGCTTTTTACGACAATCTTCGCTGACGCTCTCATACTCGTCGTGTGGCTCATACTCTGGGTGCCCGTGCAAAATTTCTTCCTGGATCTTGCACAGGCAGTCATTGCCATAGCCCTCGGCGGCGCCGCAGCGGGAAAGAATGGCACGACGAACAGCATATTCATATGCTTCATCATCATTCTCTCCAATCATCTCTTCAGGTTCAGGCCTCTCCGGCAACACATTGTCCACTTTGTGTGGACCGGGCTCTCCCGGGGAGGCCTTGAATTTCTGACGAGCCCACCGAGTTCGCCGACCACTTTGGAAAGCTTCTCATCCCCCCACGGATGGCTTCGCAGCATCCTGGGAATTCATATTTTAGCCCAAGGTGTCGTTCGCATTATCCGACGCTCTCTATCTCGACGAGACGCAGCTCCTACGCTGCCCACTGGCAAGAAGACCGATCCCGAGGCTGGCGTGCTCCAACGTGCCAACTCGACCACGCTCGATCCAAACGCGGATGTGCCCAACTCATCCAGTACCGATGGCCGGCCCCCAGGGCCATCGCCCGCAGCACATTCGAAGACGGATAAAACGAGTAGCACGCGCCGGAAGAGGAAGCAAGCTACTCATGTTCGTAGTCAGCAGCCGTTTTGGGCTGCTCTTGCCAGTACAAAAGTTACAGTTTTAAAAGAGATGGAAAGTAGCCGGGCAGCCAACGACGCTGACGAGGCTAACGCAAAAGACGCAAATCACATTGGAAACGCTGTTTGGAGATCGGAAGACGATCGTGTTTGGGTTTCTGAAGTCGGCTATTCCGACATTTCCTTTCGTGTCAATTTATTTACCGGGATCGAGTTTCAAGAGCAGGACGAGGAGGATTTAACGACCGGATCGGGGATCGACAAGTCGAAGCCATTTTACATTCGTGTAAATGGCGCAGACTGGAGTTCGACCAGAATCCGCCAGAGCACTTCGCTCGGCTACCAAGGTCAGGAGGGCACTGGCTTCTGGGTAGGAGAGATTTTCGGTCTCACAGCGCTCTCGAATTACTACTGTGAGTTCGTACGGACTGTTGACAACGAAGTCTTCTACTCGGCGAGCCTGATCACTTCGGCCGGCCCTGTAGCCGAACTGGCTTCCGTTGCTTCACCGCCAGCACACCAGACGCTTCGTCCATCATCGCCAACGACGACCCTCAAGAACTCGATTGCCGCAGCCGACCAGCAGCTACAGGAGCAGCGTAATCGCCTGAAGCGAGCAAAGAAGGACCACAAGACCGCCATTGGTACCATCCGGAAAGAGGTGGACAGTTTGAGCAATCGCCTTGCTAATGCAGGAGGAAGTGATGAGCGCCAGCGCCAGCGTGTCCTTCAGTTCACTCAAAACATCCGCCAGGCCGAAGACGCAGCAGCCGACTTTTCCCTGCAGGCCGACAATCTTGGAGAAATCCCAGAGGAAGAGGTTCAGGAGGCAGCCGCCAAGAAAGCAGCTTGGAAGAAGGAGCGTGACAACAAGAACGCCATCGCTAGCGAGTTCGACAACGTGAAAGCCGAGATTGAGCGCCAAATCCAAAGCGTGGAAACCGATATTGCCGGTACTCTTCGACAGAGGGAACGCCTTCAGCAACGCCAAACCAGGCTTAACGAGCAGCACGATCGTCTCGTTACCGCCAACGCTGAGGGCTTCACTGCCAAGCAACGAAAGGAGCAGGAACGGACCGCTTTGCGACAACAGCGTGCAGAGATTGAGAACCAATACCGTAGTAACATTAACGGTTATGAACGCCGCACCGAGGACGCCAACCTAGCCACGGGACAGATGATGCAGACAATTCACCAGTACGAGGAACTCATACTCGCACAGAATCAGCACCACATGTCTGTACCGACAACTCCTGAAGGTCCTCTTCCTGGTACCGGCATGTCTCCCAACGCCAATCCCTTTGCAAGCTTCACGTTTCCCTCGATTCACTCGCACGTTAACAGCACGCCTGGATCTCTTCGTGGCGGACGTGGCCGTTCCTCCTCTATGCTCTCCAATATCTCCGGCTTCACCGACGGCTTCGATGAACCCTACTCGCCCTCCGGATACACTCTCGGAAACCCCTTCAACGCCCCGCTCAATGGCCATAACGGCAGCCACGGAAGCGGCAGTCTGAGTTCTGGCACATCGAGCCAGAGCTCCAGCCAAAGGGATCCCATGAGCCCGGTCCAGCCGGTCAAGCCAATGATGGTTCGCAGTGCCGGCAGCGCGGGTTTGATGAGTCCGATTGGAACAGGAAGATGAAAGAAAAACAAGCTCGATTTGCAGTCTTTGCGGGTCTTTAAATAGTGTTTCTCCAATGTGATATTGCGCTTTTCGTGGATTTATAAATATGTGTGCCCAGAACTTTTGCTTTGCGTGTGATGAGTAACGTATGCCGGGGTTGTCCGTGCAAGGTGCGAAATAACATCTTGGTGTGATTGATGTCCATGTTACAACTACCCAAGGAGAAGGTATGCCCCGAAACCCGCAGAAATGCCCAGTTCCATCTAAACTAGAGGAATATCCAAAACGCCAAATACACCTCTCCGTAGCAGACCAGTCTGTACGAAAGAGAAAAAACCCCCCCCAACTCAAGCAACGCGAAACAGCTATTTTTACATCTTGTTTTGCTCCTCTTTATCCCACATGTTTCCGCAACCGTGCGCCTGCCCATAACACGGGCGCAAAGTGTCTCGACATGTTAAAACCGAACAACGACGCGAACCAGAGTATCGTCGTTACTGCGATGGGCGCGAGGAGGAGTTCTGTGTGGTGCAGAAACGGCAGGGCGTTATACCCGAGAAAAGTAATGATGAAGTAGTAATTCAACGCAAAGAGGTAGATTGTGTTTGAGAGGAGTTCGGATGGCCTTTTTGTATCGTTAGCTAGCCATCTGATTTGGAACAAGGGTAGAAGGGTAAGGAAGGGTTGACTAGACATACCAATGCTCCGTGCCAATAATCGGCATGCACAGGAATTGTACGACGTATAAGAATACCCACACGGGCACGAATGCGCGGATCGCTACGTCCCAGCAGTACCCGAATTCCAGCTCTTTCTTTCCCGCCGTCGGCTTCGTTTAGATTGTATAGCCCGCGCCGCCGGCCGGGGAGGAGCGTGTTTCCGGGGCCGAGGAGGCGGCCGACGAGGAAGAAGAAGAGCGTGGCTGTGAGCAGGGAGAGGAGCAGGAAGTGGCCGAAGATGAAGACGAGGGTGATGTGCAGGGTTTGTGTGAAGCCGTCGGCGTAGGCGAAGCCCCAGGCGAGGGATGTAAGGGTGAGGAGGAGGCTGAGGAGGTAGGTGAAGGAGGGGTCGGGGCGGTGGTAGGTCTTTGTGGTTTGTTTCTGGTTCAATATAAATCAGCGCAAGTTCCTTCCCATTCATAGATACTTCTTGGAAGTAGAAAGATCAAGGTAAGTCGTACGTGGTAGTATATTTGTCGGAAGACTTTCTTGGGCGCAATGATCAGGCTCATTATCTCCCACATGGCCATTTCAAAGTCCATCTGCGGGAACTTGAACAGGCGCTTGAAGAAGCGGGGCATTTTGATTTCATTGCGGCGCGAGGAAGGGGTCGTGGAGCCAAAGTTGGAGGGGCCGCCGGTTGGGCGGGGGAGCGAGATGTGTGGGTTCATGGTGTATGCGCCTGGGTGGTGTTGAGCTCGAGAGCTAGGGTGGTGGTGGTGTGGGTGTCTTCTATGGTGTCGCGGGACGGGGCGTCAGGTTGTGAATGGTTCGGACACGCGCGGCTGTCAAAGTAAATGCGCCATGCAATGCTCTCAGGTTGAAGTGAACGTGTGAAGTGTAGGTATCTAGGCAATGACATAGGCTCCGAGCGTGGAGCTCCAGCCATCCATCAGCCACACGCCAAGGCTACCCGCGGCGCGGACCTCCAGGGTAGCATCATTTCTGTCTTCGTTTCTATCAACTCCACGCTCTCACGACAATCTCCCGAGCATTGCGCATCCTCAGTCCCCATTGCGCATTTCGGCCCTCACTTCGCGCGGAATACTTCAATCTCCGAATTTGCGCTGCGCCGTGGGAGCGCTTTCCCTGTACGCTCTTGCAGCTAACACGCGACAAAGGCTTTCCCCCGTAGCTTTGTCTGCCATCTGCGCGACCAGCTCTGATTCTCGAGTGCAGTACATTCACAGTTGCCAACATGTCGGACGACGCAGAGCTTGCGTTCCTCAATGCGCAGCAGAACGAGTACGACCCTGCCACCGCCTACGACCCTGCTACCTCCTACGAAGCCGCGGGCGACGAGGAGGAGTATGATCCCGCCAACAATTACTCTCCACACCCGCAGTCTGACAAGTCAGCGTCGATGCCTCAATCGGCAGCCAACTCACCACCCGTGGCCGCCGACGGTGAGGGCGAGGATGGTCTGAAGCCTCCGCCGGCGACAGCTTCCGCCGAGGTCTCAGCGGCGCCGACGCCGTCCAAGCAGCCGCGCACAAGGGGTGGTTTTGTCGACGAGAGCGAGGACGAGGAAGAGGAGCCTGTCGCGCAGCCCAAGACTGCCGCCGGGCCTGCAGAATCACCACAGCGTTCATTTACAAACACACCAAACAATACAGTTCCCACACCAGATGTACAGTTACATAGTGCACAAGATCAGGGTGCTTCGTCCCTTCTCTCTGCTTCTGTCGCTGTCAATGAGTCTGTTCCTTCTATTGCTTCTACTGTTCCCAACGGCACCACGCCTGTCCCAGACGTTGCCATGACAGGTGCTTCAGATCACATGAACGTAGCTAGCGCCCGACAGTCTGCAGCTTCAGTCACTCCTATGCCCACCTCTACAGCGCTGCCAAAGGCGCGTCTTCCTCAGGACCGCATCGGTATCCTTGAAGATCGCATTGCTGAAGACCCGCGTGGTGACGTCGAAGCGTGGCTGAGTCTAATCGAGGAGCATCGCAGGCGACACAAGCACGACGACGCGAGAGCGGCCTTTGAGCGCTTCCTCAAGGTCTTCCCCACAGCAGTAAGCAGTGCTGTTGGTTTTTCTATGACTTCGCTAATTTGCCTAGGGTGAGCAATGGGTCGAATGGATCGCCTTCGAGACAGAACTAGATGAGCTGCAGAAGGTAGAGGTCTTGTTCGGCAAGTCCATCGCGCAGACAGGTTCTTATGTTCCGTTGTATTCGTCGTACATCGACTTTGTCCGCCGCCGCTTCAACTTGACGACGGACCAGACTGGTCAGAACCGTCAGACTGTCACCCAGGCCTACGAGTTCGTTCTTGGACGGGTGGGTATCGATGTCAACGCTGGCAAGCTGTGGCTGGACTATATCGAGATGCTGAAGACAGGTCCCGGCGATGCGGGCGGCAGCAGCTGGCAAGACAAGCAGAAGATGGATACTCTGCGCAAGGTCTATCAGCGTGCAATTTCCATTCCACACAACGCGACTCTTGAGATCTGGCGCGACTATGACAAGTTCGAGATGTCTGTGAACAAGCAAACAGTGAGTTCACAAGTACAGTGCGAACGAATGCAATGCTAACAGCATGATAGGGACGCAAGCATCTCCAGGAGAAATCTCCTTCATACATGACCGCACGAAGCGCCATCAACGTCCTCGACAATAACATCACGAGGGGTGTCAACCGAACCACTCTTCCCCGCCTGCCGCCAGCGCCAGGCTTCGATGGCCACGACGAGTACTCGAACCAGGTCAAGCTATGGAAGAACTGGATACAATGGGAGAAGAGCGACCCGCTCGAGATCTTGATCGACGACAAGACAGCGTACCAGAACCGTGTGCTTCATCTCTACAACAATGCCCTCATGGCGCTTCGCTTCTGGCCAGAGCTATGGTATGAGGCAGCAGAGTGGTGCTTCGACAACGGTCTGTCTGCGGAAGGGGACAAATTCCTCACCGACGGTATCGAAGCCAACCCGGAGAGCTCCCTGCTAGCATTCAAGAAGGCCAGCCAGGTTGAGTTGCGTACAGATTTCGAGGATGGCCAGCCGGGCATCATCGCCAAGGGCAAGGCCGTGCGCGAGCCCTACCATGAAGCTTTTGGACACCATCTACGACCTGACGGCGCAGACGAAGAAGCGCGAGGAGCAGTTGATTGCTCGCGCTAAGGAAATGTTCGAAGCTCAGAAGCATGCTGATGAGGCCGCTCGCAACAATGCGAACGGAGACGATGACGAAGATGAAGACGAGCTCGCGAAACGCCTCCGGGAAAAGGAGGAAATGCATAAGATGCAAATACAAGGAATTGTTGCAGGCCACAACAATGAGATTCTGACCCTCAAGAAGATACTCACCTATGCTTGGATTGCCCTGATGCGAGCCATGCGACGCGTGCAAGGCAAAGGCTCGCCAGGCGCAGAGGTTGGTGGTTTCCGCGCTGTTTTCGCTGAAGCTCGTAAGAAGGGCAAGCTCCTTAGTGAAGCGTATGTCGCCAGCGCCCTGATCGAGCATCACTGTTACCAAGACCCAGCTGCCAACAAGATCTTTGAGCGTGGCATGAAGCTCTTCCCTGAAGATGAGCACTTTGCGTTAGAATACATCAAGCACTTGATCAAGCTGAATGATTCAACCAGTGAGTACCTGTAGTACAACTAGTTGTCCCGTACTAACGAAAATAGATGCACGCGCCGTCTTTGAGACTGTTGTCGGAAAGATCACATCCAAGCCGGATCAGATTGCTCGAGCCAAGGAGCTGTTTCTCTTCTTCCACGACTATGAAGCCAAGTTCGGCGAATTGGCTCAGATCACCAAGCTGGAGCAACGCATGCTCACCCTGTACCCTGAGGATCCGCAACTACAGCGCTTCTCCCAGCGTTTCGCGGGTCCTACCTTCGATCCCACCACTGTCCGCCCGATCATCTCCCCGCGCTCTCAGATGAAGCCTATCATGCACATGCAGCCCGTCATGAACTCAGTGGAGGAGCACCAACCCACCATGCCCCAACAAGTGGAGCAGCGCCATGCCTCTCCTCCCAACTTCAACTTCGCTTCACCGCACCTCGCAAACATCCAGCCCGTCGCCATCCACTCCCCCAAGCGCCCCCTCGACGACGCCGACGACAACAACCAGCCCCGCAAGCTCGCGCGCGGCGAATCCCCCGCCCTCAAAGGCGCAGCCGGCCGCCGTCTCGATGCCGCGCGCCGCAACCTGGCCACCTCGGGCAACACGCCAGTCGTCCAAGGCCCTGTTCCCCTCCCCCGCGAAATCAACTTCCTCCTCAGCATCATCCCGCCCGCACACACGTACCGCGAGACGCGCTTCAACCCCGAAGCCATGGTCGCTATGATTCGCGATAACGCGCGCATTGCGCTGCCGAATTCGGTGGTGCCCGCGCCGCAGCGTTGGGGCACGACGCCCACTACCGCGCAGCAGTTGGCGAGTATTCAGGAGAAGTACGGACATCAGCATACTGGGAGTACGGGGAGTGCTTGGGGACAGTAAGCGTATCTTGGGCATAGCTGCTTTGGTCTGTGATGGGTGGTTCGTGTGAAATATTGCATGGATTGGCGTTTTATGTTTCTATCGAATTGGGAAAATGGTGGGGGTTTCCCCATGGGAATTTGTAATGGTACGTCTCGTTCTCGGACGGTAGAGCATGGCGTTTTTTTTTCTTGTGGGTTCTGCAGGATGGGATTAGGATCACAATCACAATTTTGAAAGGGTAGATTAGGTGGATATCTAAGCACGATAATTGGAATTTGAGAAGGGTTGATAAATTTGGGTCTTGTCTTGGGTTGATAGTGAGGAGTAAACATTCAGCATATCGGATGGGCAGTGCGTGCGAGTGATTAGATATGTTGGACCTGAGTGCTCGTGCTTGCACTATCGCCGGTGAATCTGATCAAGACCTCGCAATTGCAATGATAGTCTGATAGGACTGTGTATACCTTCAGCATACCAGATGGGCAATGAGTACGTACAATCAGATTCCAGACTCTCATGCTTGTGCTTGCATAGCCTCTTGTCGCAGTGAATTCAATCAAGGCCTCTTGTTACATTTGCGTTCATGGCTCAACAGTACTGTGTCTATCTTCAGCCTGTCACATCCGACCACGGCCTGCTTGATTTATACACGATACGTAGAATGCGGTCTGCATGCACCTGTGGATGCAGAGTCTGTGCCATGGGTGTGTTCATGGGCCCGTGCAGGAAGCCAAGTCGACATCCAACGTCGCGATGCCTCTTCCTTCAACCTTCATCACGAGAACGGGAACAGGCAGGCTGTATATCTTCGCTGCGTTATGGTTTCAATTTTGACACGGGAATCAACTATGGAAATATACAGCCTCATGCATCGAGTGGAGTTGAGATGCGGCTGGATGCGCGTTCCTGCGATACACGTCTCTTTGCTTCTCTTCCTCAACCCTCATCATCATAACGATAACAGGTAGTCTGTATGCTTTTGCTGCATCTCAATTTCCATCTCGGCTGCTTCATAAACCGTGGAGATATCCAGCCTCGTCGATCCGGTTGAGTCTAGATGCGGCACCATGCGCCTTCCCGCAATGCATGTATGCATGCTCCCATTACGCCGGGCTGATGTACACAGCATGCCCTGAAGGGCGCTGAATGGTGCGTGCGGACTTGTGGCGACTGGTTGTCGGTCGCTTGCCGCGGAAGGCTGTGGTTAAGGGAGGATGCGGTGTTCGATGTAGGTCTGGTTCGGAGGCTCGGAAGTGTATGTCTGGAGGACGCGAGGGGAAGAGTTGGACTTGGGCGAAGTTGGAGTGTGTGGCTCTGCGGGAGGTGCGCGCAGATGGAGAGCTCAGCTGGGTGAGCTTTGCTGCGAGCAGTTGCCGCTTGGTTGTTATGCGAGTGCAGAGTTTTGGAGCGGCGCGGATGTTCCTCGGATGTCTGGTGGGTCCTTTCAAGATGTCAATGTTTCGTGGTTGCGTGTGAGCTTTCTTGTATGGCTCCATATTGTGCATCTGTTTTCTGCATACTCTCTACGTCTTGCATGTGTTCATTTCATGCTCCAAGATTTCATTCTGGTCATTTCATTCGTTCTCAAGATTCATTTTTGTTCATGGAGTGTTCAATATGCTCATGATCTCCGACTTTGATATGCAGATAGTCCCGAACTCCCTCCAAGTCACCATGTCCCCCATCTTCATAATGCCACCCTCTACCACCCCCGCTCGAGCATCTCTACCTCTCTTACCTTCTAGCGTTTGCTATCTTTCGTGATCCCTGTCTTGGTGGTTTCCTACCCTTGTCTTCTCTCACCAACGTGCATCTGACGTCTTCCGGTCCCCTCTTGCTCCCCAGGGCCGTCAAAACACCCAAATCTCACCTGTATATTCGCCTCCCTCACCTTCTAAGACCTCACTTGCCTCGTCCCCCGGCCCAACAGTTTCTTAGCGCCTTTAGCGCCTTCTCGGGGAGGAGGGAGGACCATATAAACCACGCTGGGCACGCCTCCAACCTTCTTCCTCCACCTCCAACTACGACTTTAATCCTCTTCTTGACTTGGACTTCCAAGTTGACAAGCCTTCTTCTCTTCTGTTACTTCTTAATTCTAATACAAGCTTCTTCGACAACTTCGACAGCTTCCACTGCCGGCAGTCAAGTCACCTCACTGCAGGTCAGCTTCAAGTGCTTAGCATCTTCAAGTGTAAGTCCGCAGTCTGCAGCACTTCCCTTGCACTAGCATTTGCTTTGCACAGCAGCATTGCTGGCCGGCACTTCAAATCGCCAGCATTGTCCAGCTGCTTCCCGTTGCTCCTGCCGCGCTTCTCCCGCTCCTGCCCCGTCACCACAGCAATCGTCACGCGCACATACCACCTCCGCGTAGCCTTTTGTTTTTGTCCTTTTCTCATCTCCTCCTCTTCCCCACCTTTTCAACCGACATCAAACCCGCCTTCGCGTTTTTTGTACGTCTGTTCATGCAACATACCCTCACCTGCGCTTCGTTTTGATCGTCTCCGATCACATACACGCGAGGGTTGAGTCTTTTGAACACCTCCAGGCCTTACTAACGCACGTCAGACCAGATCAGTGATCGCGGCTCTTCCATCAAACGCACTCGACGCGCCTCATTACCGCTTGACGCAAGTCTAAGCCAATATGGGTGGTCCAACTCTCAGGCGTCGTGCTCAGGCCGAGAATCAGGGCTTCAGCTCTGATGGCTCGTCGTCAGCTTCGCGCGACCCTACCCAGCGCTCCGAGCCCAAGAGCATCAACAAGCTCGACGGCAACCGTGATCCTAGTGCGAACGGTGTGCTTGACTACACTCGCCCTACTGACCTGAAGAACATTTCGGAGTTCCTTGGCCTTGCTGGTTGGTACACGGCTCGCGGCGTAAGTACAAACCCTCCTGCATATGGTTGCATTTTCCCGCGCAAACACATCCTCTCCACTCCCTTGGTATGCAACCAGCCCCCAAGTCCGCTCGCAGCGTGACTTGGAGGCTTGGATGCATATAAAACTGTCCCTCTCCCTCCTTTTGTTCCCTGTCATACTCTCATTTCCCCTGCACGATCACCACTCCCGTCTGCCTTCAGCCCACTGTACCTCATCTGTACCCATCCTGTTCACTTCATTCATTTGGCATGGCTTCTTCCAACCCCACTCCTCGCCTTTATCAAGAGGGCTTTCGCCCACGCCATGCAAACATTGGAATTGACATCGATTACCAGATCGACATCCCTAAGGCCCTTCCCGCTCGGCCCAAAACTTTCAACACCCAGGGCAGGGAGTGTGGCATCACCCTGAACACCTTCAACGTTATCAAAGCCCCCAACACGATCGTGCACCAGTATGATGTCACGTTCAGTGGCGATGCACTCGATTACACCAAGCGCGTCTTGCTCAAGAAGATCTGGGCTTCCAGGGGAGTGAAGGCTGCCCTGGGTGAGCCCGCCAACCTCTGGATCTACGACACCAACAAGCTTGCCTGGTAAGTCACCTCTCTTCATACATGATATCTTTCGATCAAATACTAACAGTATGTCAGGTCCAGCAAGCGCATAGAGCGTGACGACTTCCGTGTCACCGTTGACCTGGATGAGGAAGAGGGTCGCCCCACTAAGGCCGGCCAGCGCGGTAACAAGCATACGATTCATCTCCGCCATACCCGTAAAGTCGACTTCAATGGCCTTCACGCCTTTCTTGCTGGACAGGCGTCCTGGTCCCCGGAGTGTATCGATACAATCGTGCGTGTGAATCCAGTATCAACGACGGGCGGAATGAATACTGACGTTTGCAGACTTTCTTAGATCATATTATGCGCGAATGGCCTTCCCAGAAATACACCCAGATCAAGAAGTCATTCTTCCAGCGTGGAGAGCAGCGCTTCGATCTCGGCGGCGGTGTTGAGGCTTTCAAGGGTGTCTTCGCCTCCCTTCGCCCAGTTCTCGACGACAAGTTCAACAAGTCCCTTTCCGTCAACGTGGATGTTGCAAATGGCACTTTCTGGCGTGCTCAAGAGCTTACGCGCGCTGTCGGTCAAGTCTTCAACTGCAGCCCGCCGCAATTCCAGCAGCGCTTCAAGGAGGCTTGCCGTGACTGGCGCGGTTCGCACATGAAGAAGGACCTCCGCGTCCTCCGTCGCGTCGGTGTGTCTACTACACATCTCAAGGAGCCTGTCCAGTGGACTATCGACGACTTTGTAGACATGGACGTGAACCAGGCTTCTTTCCCCGATCCCGATGATTCCTCCAAGAAGATTACGATTGCCAAGTACTTCAAGACTAAGTACAACATCACCTGCATGCCAGGTAAGTGTCTTTTCTTCTCTCAACTCTGGTTTAGACTCTAATATCTCTCAGGCATTCCCGTTGTCCGAATGACCAAGAAGATCCGCAAACAGCCCGTGTACATGCCTATGGATGTTCTCAAGATCGACGAAAACCAGCGTTACAACACCAAGCTCTCTGATGTCCAGACCTCCCAGATGATCAAGTTTGCGGTCACTCTTCCCAAGGAGCGCTGGGCTGCCGTTCAGCAGGGAGTCAAGCTTCTCGACTGGGCACACGATCCTTACCTTCGTCACTATGGTGTCCAGATCAGCCCCAACCCCTCCAAAGTCAAGGCTCGCGTCCTTCCTTCGCCCGCTGTGCACTTTGGCGCAGGCTCAAAGGAGGCTCAGCTCAAGCCTCAGGACATGGTTGCCGGCCGCTGGCGTCTTGATGTTAGTATTTCTGACCATATTCACTTTATAGTATGCTAACGATATACAGGGCCGCAAGTTCGCCATGAACAATAAGGACCGCCCAATCAAGGCTTGGGGCGTGTGCTGCATCGTCGGCAGGGGCGGTAAGTAATGTCCTTGAACCAGTTTTGTTCCTTACATGTACTGACTTCTCTAGCTCCTCCGCCAGCTGCCGTCGAGACCTTCTTCCAGAAGTTCACCCAGATCTACGAGAGCCACGGTGGCCTTATATCTGCTCACCCCACGCATGGTAAGAAGCCCTGGATGGGACCAGGTAACCTTGCCGATGGTGGAGAGGTATGATATTTCACTTCCCAGTGAGCGATACACCTGCTGACTTTGACAGATGGTCCAGAAGGTTTGGAACATGACCGGCAATCGGTGAGTACCAGATTACGCGATGAGGGCTTTTAGGCTCTTACATCAGCATACATGTTTGAAAATTGTGACTGACAATCCTTAGGTACAACATGCCTCCCAACTTCCTCTTCTTCGTTGTCAACGACCGTAACGTCGATGTGTACCGCCGCATCAAGAAGTCGTGTGACATCCGCTTCGGTGTTGCTTCGCAGGTTCTCCAGGCCAAGCATGTCATGTCTGCCTCGCCGCAGTACATTTCCAACGTCTGCATGAAGGTCAACGCTAAGCTTGGTGGCTGCACGAGTGTCGCCAAGTCTAATGTCATCCCCAAGGTCGCACCCAAGTCGCCTTCTAGTAAGTTGCCATCATTCCTCGAAGCTATACAGCCTATGCTAATTTCTGAACAGTCCCCACCATGGTCGTCGGTGCCGATGTTTCCCACCCTGCCCCAGGCGCTGGCTCCAGCGAGGCTGCATCCTTTGCCGCCATTACCGTCTCTGCCGATCCCTTCTTCGCTAAGTACTGGGCTGAAGTTCAGACCAACGGTAACCGCGTGGAGATGGTCACCACCTCCAACATCGACGAACACTTCGGATCCATGGCCAAGAACTGGATGCAGCGCATCGGACAGGGCAAGCCGCCTCAGCGCGTGCTGTTCATTCGTGACGGCGTGAGCGAGGGACAGTACGCTGCCGTGCTTGAAGAGGAGGTCCGTGACATGAAGGAGTGCTTCAGGAAGCTCGGGTGCAAGGAAGATCCCCAAGTTCACCGTTGTCATCGCCGGGAAACGCCATCACATTCTGCTTCCTTTCCTGATGCCGGCAAAGGTGACCGCAACGGCAATCCGCTTCCTGGCACTCTCGTCGAGACTGGATGCACTCATCCTTTCGAGTTCGACTTTTACCTCTGTTCGCACGTCGCCATCAAGGGCACTGCGCGACCTATCCACTACCAATGCATCCTAAACGAGGGTGAGTGGCTGGCTACTGAGCTTCAGTCCTTCATCTTCGAGCACTCGTACCACTACGTCCGCTCCACGACTCCGGTCTCGCTTCATCCTGCGGTCTACTACGCCCACTTGGCTGCTGACCGCGCTCGCGCTCATCTCAACGACAACCCGGTCTCTTCAGGCAAGAAGGAGTCCAAGGCCGACCAGCGCTCGTCCACCGGCTCCTCCTCCAAGAACGTGGAGATCGCTCCTCTGATGGCTATGCAGAACGCTCGCGGCCTGAAGGATGTCATGTGGTACATCTAGGTGGCCTTGTGGCATTAGGCTCCTCCAACAGGACGAGCTGCTACTCTGGTGGAACACGAGGATGGCTTAACGACGATATGAACATGGGGCATTCGGGTTTGCAAGAATTTTGGCTTACGACTTAGCTATGGGCAGTGATTTTCGGTGCTCTGGCACATCACAATCTTCAGCGGACAAGGCTGTGAATGCCTTTAGGCTGGTACAAAGGTTGATGTTTGGGGTCCGGACTGCTTCCTTTTATTACAGTGCAATACCCTTTCCTTACGCCCCCTTGATCGACAAGGAGGCTATCTAGGTAGCTGGGCTTCTCCATCGACATATCTTCCAAAAAATTGAGAGTTCAGATACACTTTCCATCTCTTCTGCGACCTTGGTGATGCTAACACTGACTGCCAGTATTAATCCTCGGCTGACACAACACGGCATCAGGATAACATGACGAAGACAATAGCAACCTTCAGGAATCCAATCACATTCAGCTGCGTGTACGACTTCAGGACTTCGCAACAGCCCTTCAACTCTCAGTAAACAGAAGATCATTATTAGGACCGACAGTCTGCTCCACTTGCGCGTTCTGCGACATGAGGCGTCAAATAAGAGCGCGTACCGGCTACCGTCGCGCCGGACTGCGAAGTCTCATAGGCGTGCGTATAACTCCAGACTCCACTAACCGCGATGCAACTTGTAGCGACCGCGCCATTTCATTTGTGCTTGCCAGTCATTCTCTCACTGCCTTCGCGGATAGCTGGCACCGAGAGAGAGCGGGCTGCATTACACATCTCAGTCGTTTGGCAGTGCGTATGACTCCAGGAAGCGCTATCGTATCCTCTGGATATGGCGAAGATGTGTGATATCTCTGGACTGCACGGCCTCACTCTATCCACTGCCACGAAATAAATAGGGCTGGTCATTGACTGACGAGCTACAGCATGGTGACTGAGGATGAACGTGCGTATAACTTCAGGATGCGACATCAGCTTTACCAACTCTGCTGAGCTGGAGCATCCATCTCGGCCCAGATGTGCTGTCCATGGCACTCTTTGGGAGTCTGAGAACACCAATATTGGCGATTACCACATTGGGTGACGATTGATGATAGATGTGCGTATGGCTTCAGGACCCAGGAAGAGGTCTCGTAGGCCAAACAGCGAGAAGCATTATATCAAGCTCTTCATGGTCTTCGCTTACACAACGGCGCGTGGAAATAGCGAGGCTTGACTGACTAGACGCACGTCGTGCGATGGAGTGTATAACTCCAGGCACACCCCAGACCTGCCGTGTTCGCGGCAGCCAGAGGCACTATATCCAACCCTTCATGGCATTCGCGTTGCCAACGCTGACTTGGAGCTTGTTGCGCGTAGCGAGGTGGATGCCTCAGGGATCATGAAGAGCCCCGAGGACTTCGGCCATCTTCTGCTTTGTCAAGACTTTGAGCTCAAAGTTCTGTGGAAAGAGGCCTTGGAATTGGAACCGCGCATGCCGTGGATAGTGGCGTGAAAGTCTTCAGGAATCATTGAGTTGTTCCGGTTGGGCTGACATCTGAGACACACATTATAGGTACATACTTTCTCGCGTAGCTAGCATGAAGGAGTCTGTACCCATGGCTTTGTAAGCGGAAGAGTAGACCTCCACGCGTAAGACGTTGGTGCGCGAACATGAAGATTTTGGTTTAACAGCTACACTCGGGAACTCGCGCGTTTTCATACAGTTGCCTAAAGCACTAAGCGTAGTCGGAGTGTGTGATGTCATTCACCAGTGACCAGGAGTACACATTCAGCAGTCATTAAATCATGATCAAAGCTTGACTAGACTTCGACTGCTCTACATCAGCCACCCCTGAGAGAACCGTTCTATTATCCTCACTACCATTCAGCTCAAGGTGCCTCAACCCAGCTTCCTGCAAGCAGTGTCCTCTGCCTCATCGTCTTTCTCCTCCACCTGCTTCTCTCCCACTGATACCTTCTCGCACGCAACGTCTTCACCTCCCTCCTCCTTATCTCCAACACGCATCTTCTTGCACGCCGCACCCTCCACCTCTCCATCCTCCTCAGCCTTCCTCTTTCCCCCCAACCGCCGATCCCCCACCAAAATCCCATCCCCGCCCTGCCCCGGGACGGCCCTGCCCAATATGAGATTATCATACCCGGCCATGACTTCGTATCCCTTGACCAAATCCACAAAGCGCGTTCCACAGCCTAGTGATTGGTTAGCTCGGGCAGTCTAAAAGAGGGTAGGAAGATGTGAGGGCAACATACCAACAAGTTTATCCGACGCATACACACTCTTCATATACCTGACAAACGCCTCTGCGCTCCACGCGTGAAATTCCGCAGCTCCGTCCCATCCTACCATCTTCATGCTGCCGCCGCTCGCTTCCATCAGCGGCAGTAGCGCAGTGATGTGCTGCTGCTCTTGGTGGAACTGCACATATCTCACCAAATCCACCCCCGCGCCTTCAACCTGCATCGTCAAGTCCGCGTGCACGCTCTTCCAGTGCGCGTGGAAGAAATCGTCCGTAAGCCCGGGTTTCTTGTTGAAGAAGATCATGGCGCGAAAGTACGGCTGTTGGTTTGAGCCGGTGCCATCTTCGGCGATGGAGAGTTCAGGGAAGGTGTGGTGGTGGACGAGGTGGTTTGGGCATGGGTAGATAGGCATTGGGGAGGAGGTTGTGGTGCTTGTAGTTCTTGCCATTTTGCAAAGGTAGGTGAGTAGTGGAGGAGAAGATGTTATCTTGAGAGTCGGTAGAAGGTCGTGGGTTAGGTATTTGAATGAGTGTGCTGGGCGTGGTGATGTGTCCAGCTGTGTGGCTAATTGAGGTAAAAAGCAAATGTGTTGGAATATACTGGCAGCTCGATATAGCGAGACTAAGTATGAAGGTATTGAAGTGGGAGTGAGAATAGAAACGCAAAAGAAAACTTCGCCGAGGTCAAAGTGCGCCACGGTATGAAGGCGTGTTTTGACATCTCACCAATACCCAAGTTTTTTTTTGGAACGTTACTCCACATTGCTATCCCTGAAGCACACGGTGGACGGACATCTTGGTACAGAAAAGTAAATTTGCTACTGTATCGTGTGAAATGATATTGAAGTGTATGGCGATGGAACGTGCTAGTCCGATGTTCTATATCAGAGACACTCGCTCCGATCCCAGTCACGATTGGCGAAACGCCGAACCATCAAGCCGAAAGAGCAAACATGACATGCTACACTTACAGAACGCCACAGTACCCAATTTGTATGCAAGAGCGCATGATTCATGTATTACCACCGCGCGGACACGTCCGGTTTGTCATGCCGATGTCATGCCTACGTCTCGAACATCAGCTCTTCGGACGCCACGACGTGGTAGTGCTCCTTTGGGACGACAGTTTGAGCGTGCAAGAGCGATCGATAGTCCATCAGCTTCAACGCGCGAGGTCGCAAGTGAACTCTGGGGGCAGGCCATTCATCTTATCGCGCATCCATGTGCGGTTGGCTTGGGACGCGTGTACATCCAGGAGTAGGCGGCGGGCTGCGCAATCACTTGAGGTACCGTTGTATATGATGCGTATGTGCTCGTTACGGGGCAATGCCTCTTGCGAGGGTGCGATGAATTCGTAAGCTTTGGCGTAGATGGCATCGCAGGCCGCGTTCTGTGCAGTAATGTCCTCTTGTTTGAATGCAAAGACGTAAAGCTTGCATAGCATGGAGTACTCCTCGCCCTCAGCGGCGGTCTTCTGCGATGGCTTGCTGGGTATGTGACCCGTGTAGAGATATTGGATGTAGAGTGCGAAGGCTTGTGGATCGACATCCTTGAACGCCACGATCTTGTGGCTGTCTTGGCTATGCATCTCGCTCAGAATGGATTGAAGGCACTTTGAACGATCACCGAGTAGGGCTTCGTGGACCATGACGGTCTGCTCGGTGTCGCCTTCGACGATTTGAACACTCACAATGCTGGTACCCAAGCTAGTATATGTCAGCACACTGCGTCATTAAATTCTAAGGAACTTACTTAATGGCCTGTGTATCCTTCACACGAACAGTGGATCCAGGGAGATGTCTTCGAAGATTTTGATCCATACGTGCTGGCTCCATTGCTTTATATTGAGCACCGTTATCGTCTTGGACCCCAAATCGGAATGGGTTTGATGTAGCGGCAGTGCCAAAATTGATCTTCACTGTGGGAAACTGCGGTAAAGGAGACATTCCAGTGTCTCAGAATGCATTCATCGAGGCCAAAGATTCGGGGCTAGGAGTTGTTGCCGCGATGCTAGTTGTCTTTGCTGTATTGGCAGTGGAATCAGTAAGTTCGGGTCCAGTCGATATGGTGAGCTTCTCCGTTGTGTCGCCGGTGTCGCTCGTTGTTGTATCGGCAGCGGGAGCAGGAACTTCGGGTTTTGTCAATATGGCGAGATTCTCCATTTCGTCGCTGCTGTCGCTCATTGTTGCGTTGGGTGGATGAGAACTCTGAGCTGGTGTTGGTGGTGCTGAGCCAAATCTTGTGCAATGCCACAGATATACCCATACCACAAGCTTGATTGCTCCCCTTTTCTCTTCCACAAACAATTGCACATAGGTGTTTGTCTCCATCCCGACCCGTGTAGAAGCTGGACGTCACGGGTGCATCGTCTAGAAGTCGCGTTCACCTACTCTTCCACCTCACCCCTCCCACCCAGCGCACCCAAGCCAGCACCTCATCCTTCTTATCCGGATCCCCATCCGTACCGCCATCCATGATCAAATCGACGGTGTAATACCACTTTGCCAATTCTTCGTTACTCGCCAGTCTATGCACGAAGCTGTGGCATGCTCTACACAGCCACGCCACACTATTCAATTTATCCTCGTCATGCCATCCCCTCTTGAGCACGCGGCTATGCGTCGACTTGGGTATGAGGTGGTGGTATGTCAGCGGCACCCAATCGCGTTGACACATCTCGCATTCGGTCGTTCTGGTTGTGGTCCATATTGGCGGAGGCGCTGTCACGGCTGTTGCATACGCGTTGAGAACGGGTAGAAGGAGGTTGCGTTGGTCGGTCGTGTCACTTGAGGATGGAAGAAGGCCGTAGCTTTCGAGACTATCGATTGCATCTGGTGAGATGATTTCGAGGAGGTGCGTGTATGTGGAGGCAGATAGTGGTGTTGAGTAGCTGTCTTGGAGAGGAATGGAGTCTCTGTATTTGGGATACGTGAGGGCACGAAGCTCTGGAGGTAAGGAGGGGAATATGACGTTGCTGAGGTACTGGATGCAGTCAGCGTAATGAGGTAGCTATCGGACCAGTCTGGCGTACTTCGATGAATTCGCCCAGGTCCTCCGCATCCGATGCCTGCGCCTCACGATGCGAAATGCTGCTCTTAATCTCTGCTACCCTCTTGTAGTTCTGCTCCTTGGATCCCTTCTTCACATGTCTCTTCTTCTTGGGTCTTGCCTTCTCAATGGGCATCGCTAGCGCTTTGAGGACAGGCTCACTCAGGCAATCACGAAAAGTTTCATAATTAGACTGTTCGTCTGCTGGTATGGGATCAGCCATGATCAAATGTAGGATTGCGTAACGAGCGACGCGTGATGGTAAAGTTTATAGGCGCCATGTTCATTTGATGTGGAGTGATGACGTTCGGGAGTCGCGAAGCAATTCGCGTTCGTGACGCGGGGCGGGGCAGCTTAAAGCTACTCCAAAAGGGCTGAAGGCACGGCATATGTCTGCGACTGTAATACTAGAGATGGCTCGTCTCATATATGGCAAGAATTGCTTAGATTCTGTGCGCATTGTGGCCAAGGTTACTAGCACAGCGCGTGCATGATATGTCAATGAGTATGTCACAAGTGCTGACACGAGCATTCATTTCGTTGGTCGCAGGATTCCATGATATTCGTTCATTATCTTGACTGCGGCAGGCTGCCTGAGCTATGCCATGCCTTCTTGCACGTAATGCATGATCGTTCGTAAAAGCGTCCCATATCGTTCGCAAGCTATGCAAAATCGAAGCATGTGCAGATGTGTCAACCCCAGTTTAAGCCTTCTTCTTTCCACCTTTGGCCAATCGCTCCTTTTTGCCCATGGCCTGCTCACGTCTCCGCTTCTCGCGCTCCATGAGCTCCGCCTTCTCCTTCTCCAGCTCAGCGCGCTCCTCAGCCTCGGCCTTCTTGCGCGCTGCCTCTGCCTCACGACGCTCCTTGACTAGCGCGAGACGCTCAAGATCCGAGCGCGCCTGCTCAGTCTTGCCCTCAGCATGTAGCTTCTCGTAGCGCTCCTTGGCCTGTTGTGCCTGGACAGCTTCGCGTTCACGGCGAGATAGCTGAGAGAGATCCTGCTGCTTGCCCTTGCCTTTAGCAGGGGCCGCGGCGGGTTCAGCAGCTTCAGCGGCTTCCGGGGCCTTTGCAGCCTGCGAGCGGGCCTTTGCGGTGTGGTTCGGGTTCGCGGGCATGTCGTCGTCGCTCTCCTCCTCTTCGGAGTCGGTAGGCAGATCGCCAGGCTCTGCGACCTTCTTGTTCTTCTTCGCTATCGCGGCTTGCTTGCGGGCCTTTGCGGCATCACGACGCTGCTCACGGGTCATCTCTGCCTGCTCTGGCTTATCCTCATCGTCGCTGGACTCTTCTTCGGAAGACTCTTCCTCTGATGATTCTTCGTCAACCTTGCCGGGTTGCTCCTGTCCATATATGTTAGCATTTGCTTAACAGGAAGGGCACACAGTACTTACACCCCACATACCAACGACCTCGCCATCTGCGTTGAGCGGTTGAAGATCACGAGAAAACTTCTTTCCACCTCCACGCTTGACCTTGTTGAACTTGCCGCCGCGACCACGACCTCCTGCTGAAGACATGGTGTGTATTCGAAAATGTGTAAACCTGTAAGGTAGGGGGAGGTAGGTATCGAGGCTTCTGAGCTACTCGAAATACCGCGTGCGGTTGAGTCTTTCGCAAGTAGTAGGAAGACTAGGGAACCGTGACTGTGATTTCTTGCAGTGTCGTGTGCTTCGTTCGGTATCGTGACCCGGTGAAGTTGAGGGGCGTGCGTTCTTGTGTGCGAGGGAGACGCAGGGGGTGCGTTGATGTATGGTGCGAGGCTGTCGAGGCGCGGTTAGCATTCACGTTCCAGCAGTTTACAGCCTGCACCAGGGCACTCACTTATGTAATATCCTGATCTCAAATTCCCGTGGTCGTGAAAGAGTCACTCTCGCCAGCCCGCCAGACAACAAATCGCCTGCCCCGCTTGACCCCTGCCCCACCATCTTCATCATAATCCACCAAGCCCAATTCGCTGCACCAGCCTCCCTAACCGCATCCGCCATAGCGCGCCTTAGTCAGCGCGAAATCTCGCTGGGTTTTCATCTTTCGCGCGCGCGTTCTCTTTCCTGCCACATAAACTGAAAATGCCCTTTATTCACTCTGCGTTCTTCAAACATTGAGAACGACTGGAGGGGAAAAAGGAGCTAAGATGAATCATTTCGGCGTCTGCTTACCCCCTTCTCTTCTGCGTAAGCTTGTGGAGCGAAGGTAAATAAATTGGACGGTACATTCTTTTGCTTGGCGTGATGTTTTCGCGATTTTTGGAGGCCCGCTTCCGGGAACGACGTATGTTTCTCGGGCGCGCAAAAAAGCATTAATGATGAGCTGTGTTCATTGCTGCTGGATACTGTGTTCCTTGCTTTGCGCGCGTCTCTGCTCGGTCGTGGAGTTGAACTCAGGAGGCACCGGGAACCAAGTCACCTCCACCATCTCGAACTTCATACCTACACTTGTGTACTCCTGAGTTCATTCAATGCGTTATCATTCTCGATACCTCTCCTTCAATCGCGATCCGGTGATGGTGTTCCTGTGTGGAGCAGTTGGTTCAGGACCTTCACGATGCGTACGGACAGTTTACGCGTGGACGTTCGACCTGTCGCATACAAAACACGCCATGCCTATGTAACTCTGTGTACTATACCCTGCTGTTACAGACTGTTGTGCGATTGATGTAATGGAGGTTTACTCTGTAACTCTGCCGGAGAGACGCATTGATCATATCAGTCACTGCCGTATGTGTTCGGCTAGTCACTCACAAAGAACACTACATCCTTCATATACACCACCGTAAAGTGCTTCAGGCATATGGTTTTCAATGCCCCAATTCCAGTCCATTGATCGTTGCTAGGTCATCTTCGGTTTAGAAATGGAAGAGGTTAATGGTATTGCTGGGGAGGTGAGGAGAAGACATCGTAGGAGACGTCAGGAGAAGACATAAGAAGAATGTGTAGGGAGAACATACCATAGAAGTCGCGAGGAGAAGGCGCCATGTTATGCACGGGGTTTCCAGGCCTGCATGGCTGAAGTAGGTGAACGGCTACGTCATGTGACTTGTTGCGACACCTCACCCCGAGTCTCACTCTCACTTTCACCGTTAGTCATGACGCCAAGATGACAATCGTCCGCACAATATGAGTAGAAATAGTCCCGCTCGACTCTGCTGAGCCACTTCGTCCGCAACACCAACTTCCTGCGAGCAGCCACCATAATGAAGACTCCTTCCAAGCCAACCCGGGCTTGCACGACCAAGCAGATGAAGTAAGCCAGGGCCGCGCACCAATCTACCTATCTTCATCGCTAATTCTGCGACAGTTTCGAGCCTTCGCAGATGGTCACCATCCGTGTCGGCGATTCGCCAGAGTACAAAGACTTCATCGCTCACGAATCGTTCCTCACTTCTCGCTCTGAGTTCTTCCGCCGCGCTATGAACGGCAGCTGGACGGAGGCAGAATCTCGAGTCGTGAAACTGCCAGAGGATGAGCCTGCCATCTTCGCCATCTATCTCAACTTGGTCTACACTGGACAGCTTGTTACAATGCGAAAAAACCAAGGAAGAACTCGCGAGCTTGGAGTTTCTGGCCTTCAGCAACCTGATCACACCCGAATACGAAGATATCTTCCGCATGTACGTCCTAGCGGAAAAGCTCCAAGACAAGGGCGCAAAGAATGGTGCCCTCGCTGCCGCTGTCAGTGTTTCTGAGGTAATGGATTCGGCAAACAATTCGACCGTTCCTGCGGCTGAAATCGCCAACCTCGTCTACAAAGGCACGCCTGAGGGCAGTCCCGGCAGACGCCTCGTCATCGACATGTACGGCATGCTTCCATTCCGATCACTGTTTTCCGACGTTGAGGGCATTCCCTTTCATCGAGATGCTCTGAATGACCTCGTAGAGATGTTGAACAAGAGTTATCAGAAGAAGGATGGATATGGAGGGCATTGGTTTGCAAAAGACAAGAATCAGAAGCTGTACTTGGAGGAGGAAGAATGATCAAGAAGAAGACCGCAGACATGATCCGAGAGGATTACCAGCACAAAGATGGAAGCGAGCAGCAAGGCGTTCGTTGGTTGCATTGGAAGCATGGAAGGCGTCGAAGAAGGTCATCCGGTTCTGAATGAGCATATGAAGAGATCTGGGTCCACACCATTGTCGCTGAAGGCTATCCATAGCGACCTGATTGAATGGAATTGAAAGCAAGGCATACCTCGTTATACTGTCCCACAGATTGTGAAGATGACTTCTACTATAGGCTAGTATGAAGTGCCTCATATGTCCATTGCGAACATGTGAACACATGCAACATCTCACTCTTAAGTTGCATTCTCTTTCACAGAATTTAAGCGTTTCGAACACCCTGGCAGAGTCACGGAGTAAACCTCTACAACATCAATCGCACAAGAGTACTCAACAGTGCGGTACAGTATACAAAACCACGCTGTATGGCGATAGCTGCAAGTCGAAATGGCACTGCGCTAAAGTGGTCTGGTAAAGCAATACTGCGGGTTGTCAATTACGACGGAGAGCGACTGGAGTGCCTGAGCTATACACAAGGCTTTACCGTTATATATGAAGCCTTGCTATACTGTGTATAACGTCCCGAGGTCAGATTATAGGCTGGTTGCTACTTGTTTCCACCCTGACCACTTTCCTCTGTAGGTGAGAACCTGCGGTACATGGCAAGCTTGGCGACGTCCTGATGCGGAAGGTTGAATCGTTTGTGCTCTGACACTGTCATATCATAGAGACAGTGACATGATGTAAGGCATTAGGGATCCTGAACGGAGACAGTGGCTTGAGACAGTCCAGTGCCGTATTTTCGCCGTCCTCAAAACTTGTCGACCGTCTCTGTACGTTCCTGTCCTCGCCATGCTGCGGGTTCCGCCGCTCGAGAATGCTGGGCCGAGTTTCACTTTTCCATCTACATGCTTGCCATTGGCTCCCAAGCACACGGTTTCCAGTCAAGAGCTACCGCCAACCAGGAAGGCATCTGATCTAGTTGCACAACCTCGAGATCACCCGGCGTATAGGCATGTCAGTGAAGCCACAGTCGTAGCCACCGGAATTTCAGCCATGTCGTAAAATCCTCCCATGAATCCCGCCGGATAATCACCCGCTGCACGATGCTGCCACCCGTGAGATCGTGGCGCCGCCGACGCGGATCTTCCGCCGTGGGAAGTCGCGCTTGCCAATTGTTTAAATGTTTGAGTGAACCTCACCTCTTTCTGTATAAAGATTGTGTTTTCCCCGGATTTCCTCATCTCACCTCATCGACTGGGGATATCGCACTAGCGACGCCCACCGATTCCTGACAGATCCGATAATTCTTCGAACATGGAACCACTCGATAGTCCCAGCAAGCGTCGCGCTGGAAACTTTTGCTGAGCGCAATGGCCTGAGACTCACAGCATACCGCGGCCTCTCCAGACGTCTCAACAGCGCGACTCGCACTCTCCACTTTCCGACCTCGAATCTATTCGCATCGAGGCTCACGATACGATTCCCCACTGGAACCCCTATTGAAACATTTTTGGTATTGTGACCGCTCAAATTTTTCACCATATCGGACCAAGCAAGCCAAAGATAGCGCGCCCGGCACCTGGAAAAGCCAACTACCGTGTCCGTGGCTCGCGCCAGCATCGTCGTGACACCCGCGAGTGGGGCGTCGCGTGGTTACCAACGTTGACAAAGCAGCAAGGCAGTCGGACTTGGGGTTGACTCGTGTTACCCAGAGTTTTGCCGGCATGGGGACCCCGAAGTGGAGACAGAAAAATTGGAGCCTGCTGTTCGAGACCTGACCCTTCTCCGGATGTTCATCGCGCGATCATGTGGAGACTCCTGCCCATCAACCCCATGGCATGGATTGCGGTAGGGCAAACTTCACAACAACATACGATCCTAGATGCTGAAATTACTCGGGGTCGAATAAGCCTCATGTCTTCCTGGAGAGTTTGACGGTCCGACAGCACACCAAGGAAGATGGATGTATCGCAAGATCACCACATATTTTGGGCCTCAAGCTTTCGCGGAGCGGTCCAAGTGGGTCGTGGCTTGCTTCTTGACTCTCATCTCGTTGAAGGAAGCGGCGCCGAGGAAACCACGATCGCATTTCGCCCGTGCTCCGACCGCAATTTAGCTTTGACGCTATCGACCCCTAGCTGCAATGTCATCCGAGTTCCCCATGGAGATTGGTGACAGGCGACTTGTACACAGTACGCGCTGTCGGTGTCGGTCCGGGGTCCTCCAGCATGAGTGCATACTGTAACGGGCTCCTAAGCTTCGCGCCCGAAGGCTTCAAGGCGTACACCGTGCATCGTCAAGATCAACTCACGTGTGCCGTCTCGTATAGCGATTGCGCGGTTGATCCATACAGCAAGCTGACCGACCGTTGAGATTTTGCCGTTAGCACGATATTGCACCCTGGTACACTTCGGCTCCGCGACAAAACTTTCCATACTCGCTCTCATCTGCGCGACAAACGGCAAAAATAGTGGACGTTCTCGGGACTATTGGCTCCTGCACAGTCTGCTCCACGGTTGGCACCTCGTCTGCTGATGGCGCCGCAAAGTAGCATCGCATTATGGGGCCCGTCTATGGCGGGATGCCACTCCAAACGTAGGTGGAAAGCGTCTGGTGACATGCATGTGAAGGACGCCGCCCATTCAGCTTACTCGTTCACTGTCGCTCCGCGGTATTGTGCGTGTCAACGGGAGGCCTGAGAACAAGGTTCTCCACAAACGCCGCACGGCTGTGGCGAACAAAAGGGTATAGTGACCAAAGTGCCACTGTCGCCACCATGCTTTTGAACAGCACCATTCGCTGGATGATAAAATGTTCAGGTGTGATGATCAGGGTTCCAGCGAACAGGAAGAGCTGCAGTAGCTTTGCGCTTATGGTCCTGATCATCTGAGACCAGGCATGTGGTAATGTAATCCACACATCTGGGGCACCCTACCTGTGACCGGGACGACCATGTTTTATTGAAGACGTTAGACCCGTCAGCACATCGTACCCTGGCGGCTGCATTCGACTAACCAATCAGCACTGCTCACCCCATAAAGCATCCTCCTTTCCAGCCTCGATCCACTTACGCATGCAGCTTACCAGGTATTGCGGGATACTTTGTGCTCTGTCCCGGGTGTCCAGCCAGGGTGTTGTTGTCTATGCTCGGACCTGAACCTGCGAAAGACCGAACAGCGACACCGGTTCAAGCCAGTATGTCGAAATAAAGAACAAAGTGGCCATGTTCACTGGCGTTGTGTGGCTTCGGCATCCGCGACACCAGCAACAGTTCCGACCGAGATCAGGCCCAAGCGCGCGAATGATGGCAGTCATGTGTTTGTGTCGTTAGGTGCCAGTCAGCGTGAAGGTGCGGAAGGACTAGCTCGGCGTGCATGGAAGACGGCACAACAGGAAGCAGTGGCCGGCCTCATGTGCTTAGCGCCAACACACCCGAACGCCATCTCCCTTTGATTTGATGCCAATCTGACCAGCCTCGCATTCGACAAGGGTTAAACAACGAAAAATCTGCAGGTCTCGCCAGCCAAGATACAACTAGATTGACTTCGGCTGCAGCTTGGGTGAGCTTGGCGCCCCAGGTTTCGCGCCTCTATCCAGCGTATTCGTGCGTGTCGGGCCAGCTGCTGTCTTGCCTGATGAAGCGATATACCCGGCTCAGGCAGTGGAAGCCATGCAGAACGACCTCGAAATCTCCTCGCGGTGTACACGGCGTGTCGAGCCATGGTGCCATCGAGGTTGGGACAGTCTCAGCCGCGTGCTAGCCGCATAAGCAGCTGGGCCACCATGAACCCACCCAGGCCGGTTCGCGACCACCGACCCATGGGGACGCTCCAATCCTTCTCGAACTCGAGATGCGGAGAAGCATCCGAATGTGGTATAGTGCCCAAAGCGCAATGTTACTGTTCCCATTAACCAGAAGCCACACAAGCGCACCTCGGTGCATGATCAGGGCCGCCGGGACGCGATATTAAAAGCTTAGGATCGCCCACCCCATCGCTTGACGATATCCCCAGCTCTTCCTCCTTTCAACGCTGCGCGGGACTCAGAGCCTTATCCTTCTCACTTCTCTCCCAAGCAGCTCAAGAGCAGTACTACCTTCAAGATGCCTGGTGGTGGTGTCGTCCCAATTGCTGGCACGGCTGATGTGAGCCGTGTCGAAGCCCCCGTTACCGTTCGCGCCTACCTGATCATTGCTTTCGCAGCATTCGGTGGTATCTTCTTCGGTTATGATACTGGTTGGATGGGTGGTGTCCTCAACATGGACTACTTCATCAAGCAGTACACTGGCTTGGAGTACCCCGACGTCAAGTTCCCTGGCCTCGATCCCAAGGACCCCCAGATCACCAACTACCGCAATACCGAGTTCTCCGTCTCCTCTTCGAACCAGTCTCTTGTCACTTCTATCCTGTCTGCTGGTACCTTCTTTGGTGCCATCATGGCCGGTGACCTTGCTGACTTCATTGGCCGTCGATTCACCATCATTCTCGGCTGCGGTATCTTCTGCGTTGGTGGTATCCTTGAGACTGCCTCCACTGGTCTCGGTGTGATGGTTGCAGGCCGTCTTGTTGCTGGTTTCGGTGTCGGTTTCATCTCGGCCATTGTCATTCTGTACATGTCCGAGATTGCTCCTAAGAAGGTCCGTGGTGCCGTCGTTGCCGGTTATCAGTTCTGCATTACCATTGGTATCCTCATCGCCAACTGCGTTGTGTACGGCACTCAGAACCGCCGCGACACTGGCTCTTACCGTATCCCCATCGCCGTCCAGTTCCTCTGGGCCATCATCCTTGCCATTGGTCTTGCGCTTCTGCCCGAGTCTCCTCGTTACTGGGTCAAGAAGGGCAAGCTCGACAAGGCTGCTCACGCTCTTGGCCGTGTCCGTGGCCAGCCCCTTGACTCTGAGTACATTCAGGATGAGCTTGCTGAGATCATTGCCAACCACGAGTATGAGATGTCCATTCTCCCCGAGACGAGCTACCTCGGCTCATGGATGGCCTGCTTCTCTGGCAAGATCACCAGCCCCTCATCCAACGCTCGCCGCACATTCGTCGGAATCGTAATTCAGATGATGCAGCAGCTTACTGGTATCAACTTCATCTTCTACTTCGGACCCGTCTTCTTCCAGCAGCTCGGCACGATCGACAACCCCTTCTTGATCTCCATGGTCACCACCCTCGTCAACGTGCTCTCCACCCCAGCCTCGTTCATCATGGTTGAGAAGCTCGGACGTCGTTCCATCTTGATCTACGGTGCCGCTGGTATGGTTATCATGCAGTTCATCGTTGGTGCCATTGGTGCCACCGCTGGCAAGGCTCATGGAGACACTCCCGCTAACCCTAACGCTGTCCGCGCTATGATTGCTTTCATCTGCTTGAACATCTCCGTTTTCGCCACCACCTGGGGTCCCTCTGCCTGGATCGTCATTGGCGAGATATTCCCTCTGACCATCCGTTCGCGTGGTGTTGGTCTCTCCACCGTAAGTTCCACCACTAATATACTCGCAAACACTCCATACTAACAGAGTTTCACAGGCATCCAACTGGTTCTGGAACTGCATCATCGGTGTCATTACCCCCTACCTCGTCGCCGAGCGCCCTGACTCCGCCAAGCTCGGATCCAACGTCTTCTTCATGTGGGGCGGTCTTTGCTGCATCTCCTTCCTCTTCGCATACTTCTTCGTTCCTGAGACCAAGGGTCTTACCCTCGAGCAGGTCGACAAGATGTTGGAGGAGACCACACCCCGTACTTCGCGCAAGTGGAAGCCCCACAGCACCTTTGCCGCGGACATGCACCTCAACGAGAAGAACATCGAGATTCCGCTCGAGAACATTGCCGCTAAGCACGAGGCCACCGTCTAAGTTCTTCGCTTTAGCGATGACTTGATGGTAGGAATACGTGAAATGCGCAATGTGTATGTGCAATGATGGGGGCGGTTGTGATACATGAGTAATTTGCAAGCTGCAACGCTGCGTTGATTGTGGTTGAGCAGGCTTGAATAGTAGTCAATATACCCACGGAGCCAATTATTACTGGTATCCCTTCTCTACTCCTGAGCCTTTTCGTGTGATTCTAAAAAGTCTTTTCAGTTCCCTTCACCACATCCTATGCCGTGCGCTTGGTCACCGTGAACCTTTCCCAATGCGCGACCAGACGCAGCAATCAGTCGTGCGCGCTGCCTCCAAATGAGCAGCACTATCTAATGGCATTTTAGGTAAACTGTATAACTCCAAAGCCTCAGCCGCACCTCAGAACATGCCAGCCACCCATCGAGTCCATCCAGACTCACAAATACCACAACAAAAGTTGACCAACACTGCACAGCCGCAAGTTGCATATCCCCGTTCACCGGTGGTCCATGCACTCGCCCCACCCAACCCCACTCAGCCTAGCGACCCCAGCCGCTCCCTTCAGCCCCCACGTTCAAACATCCATCTTAATCTCTACTCTTCTAAGCTCCAAATACCACCTTCCACACGCAGTCTCACCTGACATCCAGGCCGCGCTCTCGGGATCTGCGCACCAGTCCTGGTACCACGTCCGCACGTCCTGCCACTGCCTCGCTTCGTGTAACCTGCAGCTCGGCGAATACGGACTTTCGGGAGCACAAGCACGGCGCCGGACGCACCCCGTGTGTGATCAGAGTGGTAGCACGACAGCTCGTATAGAGGGGAGCTGAAAGGAAAGTGTCGGTGGCGAGGGTCTGGACTTTGGAGAGGTTGGGGGTCGGAGGACGGTAGGAACTGGAAATAGACTTGGGTGAGTGAGATGCTAGATGCTGGACGCGCTCCTGGTCTGCATGTAGTTGCAGTGTCCAGCCTTGCTGCTTACATAGGACGACACGGCTCAGGAAAGGTATTCGAACAATAGCATCTAATAAAATCTCGACGTACTTCGCTTGATCAAAGAGTTGTCCACTTGCTTAAAAACTTTAGAATGCATTGCTTAAGCTAGTAACTGCTAGTAAGCTGATTCGCAGCACTCTATGCCTATAACCTACTATCTTTGCTCTTGTAACTCATTTTCTAGTCGTTAAGACACAGGTCTGCGCCTGCTGTGCTGTGCTGTGCTGCTGAAAAAACTTACGCATATTTAGTAAATATCTATTAGGCTATGTAGAAGATAGTACGGTGTATAGGCCTTGCTATGCGCGCCTTATAAAGTCTTTGCAAATATATGCCTTAATCTTCGTCCTTATATCTCTCTTCTATAGTCTTAATTAGCAAGCAAAATAATAAAAACACAGTATGTGCTATTTCACTAGAGCAAAAAGAGGAAAAAGAAAAACCCGCACTTTAAGTCTGCTACTCTAAACCCGCAATTTAAGTATGCTACTCTGAACTCGCACTTTGAGTGCTAATCTGGAGAAACCGGCAAAGCCCAGACTCGAACCCGCGGTTGTGTGTGTGTCATAGTCTGGTGGTGAAGGTGGGAGACTCCGGAGTACCACTTACGACGCGCAGGACGCTTTTGTTTTATTAAGATATCAAAGATTTATTTAAGATACATACTGCTATTGAACTGTAGTATAGCAGATGTATCAAGATCGTTTACATGCGCGGGTGTGGGTAAACAGTGGGGCTAAAGTGAGAGGTTGCAAACGTGAAGTACGATTCACCTAGGTCTTAGTGGGCAGTATCAACATATGGTTATAAGGGGAGTTTGCGGTACTCAGAAAGGTCGTTTCCGATTCTGAGTTGACCCAGTACACGGTTGACGTAAATTTCTATGCGCATTGATGAACTAAGCGTCTCGTTGTGTAAAAGATCTAACTAGTATCACTCTCAGTTCGCGCAAATCAATGAGCAGCTGCAAACCTTGCTTCCTCCAATGCTCTTCTACCTGAGAACTTCGTGTCAACTGGATGCCTTTCCAAAGCTGCCTCCGAGCCAAAATACATTTCAACTTCTTTCACCAACGAGGATACAGCTTTCACTTCATCTCTAGCGTCCGGTGTCGCTTCTTGTAGAGAGCGTGTTAACCGCTTCAAACTCTTGATCTGGAGTTTGATGCTGTGTAAGCTTGCTTTGATGATGTAGCCAATACTTTCTGTCGGATCTTGCTGGCTTCTACTCATTATTAGCATATGATATGCACAAGGAACCGGTACAGAAACTGGTAGAAAGAACTTACGGCTCAAGATTCTGATCGTCGAACATCGTCTCTTCATCATCGATCCTGGGTAGATCTTTGAGCTTGAGGTCGTTTGGTTTAGCTTTTGCGCACGCATCGTGAAGCTCCATCGCTCGCTCAATCAAGCGATCCATGTTTCGTAATGCAGCGTCCGCAATGGCTCTTGCTTCTTCTGGTATATCTCTTCTCGCTATCTTATCGATATTCGCAATGCTACTCCAAACGCGGAGATCGAACTCAAAGCCTTGAACTTGTTCGGATATCTTTTCGAACGTTAGGTCGCGCGGATTCGATGCTTCGACGTCGATGTAGCGCACACATGCCAAACTGATTTCAGCGAGCTTATCCTGCAACACTAGGTACCTGCATTGGAGTTGTGGCTGGCCGCTGGCAGATCTGGGACGTCCGACGGGACTTTTTCCGGGCTTTTGATCCGCCGCATTTGATTCTGGTAATTCCTTCTGGATGATGACAGGCGGGATTTTGATCTTTGGTCTCTCAAAGGCTGGCGATTTGGTGTGGTTCGAAGCCCGCATTCTTTCTTCGACCACCGACTCATCTTCCTTGCTGAGAACCTCGGGCCGCGGACTCACTTCCCGTCTGTTGAACGGTTTTGGTGAATCTTCCATCCGGGAACCTACATCTGATCGAACTCGTCGATGATGGCGTGGGTTTACCTCGTAGATCGGAACAGGGACATCAAGCAGATTTGAACCTGCGCGCTGATGAGTTGCGCCGTAATGTTTTCCACGGTGATAGGGCACCATCTGTCGCTCTTTGTCGCGTTTGTTCCATATTTCTTGATCTTCCAAGTAGTCTAGGTAGCCGTTTGATCGGGCGCGACGCACTTCGGGTTCGCGTTCGAAGTCGACGACTTCGAGGAACACTGGCGATTTCGGAGACATATCGTCTTAGTAGCTACGTGGAGCAGATTATGGTCGATTGGGAATTTCTAGAAGTGCGGATTCAGTTATTAGGCAGCAAAGTCCGAACAATTATGTTAGATCTCGTCCGTGGCCGGTAGAAATGTCAGCGTCTCGTGCCTGCCACCCTGATTATCTTCAGCCTTGAGTCCAAATCACAGAAAGCCGGGTGATCTCGAAACTGAAATTGAGCTTGCCGAGTTTATCGGTAATCAGAACGCCACAACATAAGTTGGTGTAATACTCGCCTACATTTGGGGGCCGAAAATGGGGGCGGTCTTGTGGCTGAGCAACACCACATGGGGCCGGTCAACACCCATGGTGCTGCTGCGGCCCCAACTGATGCACACCCTACTACGCCAGGAATTAAGAAGCTAAATTCTGTATTGTCCCATCAGCATAGACGATTCTAGAAGTTGAGGCCGCTCTTTGTGGCTCATAAGATCGCACTGCCTGAAGTTGCCGATTTCCTTCTGACTGGACTCCGGCCATATTAGCGCACATCTTCCTGCATTATTCTGGCGAACACATTGCATCATTTTGCTCCACTCTTCATCACTTTCTACCACAGTAGATTCGCAGTAGTACACTATTTCGCGACCAGATTGGTCGCGCTATCTGGGTCGTGATAGCCAGTGACCTGAGAACAGTCGACATCGTACACAAAACAACACCAGAGGCCTATCGCCCACAAAGCTTCATTCCACTAGTCATAAACATGGCGGAAGTGCTTGGGATCATTAATGGCCTAACCACAGCTGGCCAGGCATTGGAGAGATTCGCACATCATACACGGAAATGGAAACGTCTCAGCGACCGCCTCTTCGACATCAGAGGAGGAATCGACGTTGCTGAACTTGCATTAGCAAGCTGGAAACGCAAATTTCAGATTGAGGAGAGGCACCGTCGTGTATACATGGAAGTTCTCTTTGGCAAACAAGGCTATGAACGCATCTCAGCGACGCTGGGAAGCATTGCTCTTGCCACCCGAGTCGTGCGAGGTGACATCAACAGGATCATTGGGCGAGCGCTCCTTGTGAAGAAGGACGGGAGACCGACTGGTAATGGATACGAGAGCGACATCGACGAGGAACTCGTCAAACACTGTCTACGTCGCATCCAAAAGAATACTGCATGGTCGCACAAGTTTGCACTCAGCGTGCTTGGAAAAGCTGACGAGCTGGAGAGCCACTTCAAAAAATTGGACAAGAAAGTTACGGTACTCGAGCGCTCCTCTAATTTTTATCTAGAGAGAGAACATCCGGACATCTTTGCAGAGATGAAGCGACTCGGAGGGCGCAGAGTCATACTCAAAGTTGGAGACGGCGGAACAGACGACCTCGGGAAGCACCTCAAGAACTCCATGGCAGCAAGAGATGACGCGCAACTCCTTCACAAAGCTTCTGGGAAAGGTAGTCGCGTGCACATTGGGCTCGCAGTGCCACAGATTAGGGACCGCGATTTCGACTTCTTGCTGGACCTAGACGGCAAGACGGACGAGTTTCTATTACAACCAATCAAGATCAGGGCAAACAACGACTCGCCGCGCGTCAAAAGCGACTTCACTACAATTGTGCCAGTCCTTCGGAGCAATCCGGAGTTCGAACACTACGTCCAACCATCCGCCGCAAGCGCCAACGCTTTCCGCATCAAGATGCCATCAGCGAGTCATCTGGCAGATCTTGAGCACAAAGACTCATTAGCTACCATGATCAAGAGCCCCGACACATACCTGGGCTCGCAGATACTGTACCAGCAAGATCAAAGTGCTATAGCCAGTGGTATTGCACAAGGCGCCCTTCGCCTCATTGGAAGCCAGTGGATGGACTTTCTCGACTGCTCCAATATCAGATGGCGGAGAACAGTTGGTGGTCAGTGGACGAGCATGCTCACTTCCGCGCCAGGAAACGCATCAACGACCCGCACTCTAGAACAATGCTACACATCCAATCGCATGGGAAGAGGCAGTCGTGATCTCAGAAAGCACATTCAGATCTTCCGTATCGGCCTTGTGCTCTGCGAACTCGCATTGAAGACGCCCATCTCTTATGTCGATTTCGATCCTTCTTCTAACGCAGTGAAGCTCTTCATCAATAACGACGAGGAGATCGATGTGGTGGATCTTGCAGCATCGGTTGAGCGGGAAAACAACGTGCTACTGGGCAACATCGTGTTTTATTGCCTGAATGTGCTGCAAGACAAGGACAAGATGAAGGATAGAGCGATCGAGGCAGATTACTACAAGGAGGTATTGAAGGATGCAAAGGAGCTCGATGGTCAATTACAGAAAGACAGGAGGAGGGGAGATAAGAGTCCCGTCAGTGCAGGCGGCATGTAGAGAGATGGAGTGTCCTGACCATAGTTTGTGTAAGATTTCATTGTTCTTGATTGGAAATGTCTTGGCTCTATCGCGATCCATAGTTTGGTCCACCAATTCCTTTTTCGCCCGGGTTGTTTGCACTGGGATCAACGCCCACATTCGAGTTCCCACTGTCGGAGGCTACCGGTGCTTCGCCGGGTTTAGAGTGCTCCTTTGCGGCTGGCGCATTCGAGGCGCCTAGACCTTTTGCTGTTTGACGGAGTCAGTGAGCATTCAGTAACTCAATAGATAAAGTTGAGAGCTTTGTACCTTCAGCATCCTGCTTGTTGAACTTCTCCGAAGCGGCGTTGGACTGGCCCGGGGTCTTGGAGTGCGGCATTGTGAATGATGTGTGGTAGTTCTTTTGTATTGAGATGTATTAATGGGTTGGATTGTATAGTGCGAAATGCAGAGAACGTTTTGTAGGTGAAGTGTGCTGGCTGTGATGTCACTCATGATGATATCATTGAAAAAGGGTCTACTTTTTTAGTGTGGTTGACGGAGTGACACTTCCTGACGACACACAACTTACTGTAAACACGTATTAAATTAGCTTGAGAGTCAGAGAACGTGTCCATGTATACAATAAGCTCGATTATCGAGTTAACAAAAAGTTTTGAGGCCGGCCAGACAGAGGCTACCACTGAGGAGAATATGTTCATATATATTTTAGACCATCTTAAATAGTGTACCGGAATCTTGGGCTGTCATCTCCCATTTCTGCAACCTCCTCATCACTCATACCGGCAATAAGATGGTCTTCTTCGCCCTTTTCACGACGTGTGTTGATACGTCCAAGTGCGAACCATAGCACTGCGTAGCATATAATCGCGAATGCCACCATTGCCATTGTGATCGCATGGCCCTTGATGAAGCGAGGACGATCGGCACTGGGGTAGATCTAATATTCAGGTCAGCCACCATAGGCGTGAGATAGTGCGAGTAACATACAAACGCAGACATAATACCCGCACAGTTTCCAATTGACAGCTGTAGCCCCGTTGCTGATGTTCTCTTTCCGTAACGCGGAAGATTTGTGGGAAGCCAGGCTAGTGGCAAACCGACGCAGACATAAAGTCCCATCGCAACTAAGAAGCAGCCCGCGTAGTGTGTTGCTGAGCTCGACGGACTGATGAGCATCGCATACCCAATGATACTGACGATGCCGAGAAGGATGCTGTAAAACGCGCGCTTCTGCTGCCTGTCCGAGAAGTGCGCAGTTACCAGGTACGTGATCGCACCGAGCGCATAGCACGGAATCGTCAGCACCTGGACCATGGCATTGCTTGCCTTGGGCATGATACTGCGAATGATCGTAGGCAAGAACGTACTGAAACCGTAAAGCATAGTGTCCGAGCCGAACTGCGCGAAGCAGAACAACCACACTTTCCAGTCTTTGAAGCACTTTCTTACATCGTCCCAGTGGAATTCGGCTGCTTTCTTGGTGTATCCGGTCTGTCGCTTGAGACGTGCAGCGGCGTATACTTTTTCCTGAGCGTTGAGAAAGTATGCTGTCTCGGGATTATCGGGTAGGATGAACCACGTTGCGATGCCCAGGACGAAGGTGGGAATGCCTTCGAGAATCATGATCCAACGCCATCCAGATTGACCTCCTACCCCATCCATGTGGCCAATTGCGTAAGCGAGTAGTCCACCAAAGGCGCCGGCAAGGGCGGCAGAGACGAAAAGATATCCAATTCGCAGGGCGAGTTCACGCTTGGTGTAGAAGAAGGTGAGATAGACAGCCATGCCGGGAAAAAGACCTCCTTCAACAGCACCGAGGAGGAGACGGCATGCGATTAGGCCGCCATAGCTTTGGACTACTCCGGTCAGAGTGGCAATGATGCCCCAGGCGACTGTGATGAAAGCGATCCAACGTGACGGGCGTAGTTTCTTGAGGACTAGATTTGAAGGAAGCTCAGACAGAATGTAGGTGACGAAAAGAATCGACACGGCAGTCTGGAATTGATTGGAGTTCATGTTGAGATCCTCTTCTAGACCGTATAGACGAGCATTTCCGATGTTTACTCTAACATGAAGTTAGCATGACTTATAGAACACACTGTTTAAATCGCTATGGTTCTAATGTCGACTAGTTAAGAAGACAGACGTACCGGTCCAAGAAGCTGAGCAAGTACAGCAGCATTACCACGGGGATAATGAATAGATCAAGCTTTCTGACAAGCTTGGCTTCGTATACGGTATCCACCTCTCCCAGCTGCCGTTCGACTTCATCGCTTTGAAGTGAGCCAGGAGCATTAGGCCCCGGAGCCTCGTACGGTTTCTCAATGTCGCTCATCTCGTCGTCTGTGGTCAGAATTCAAAGCCGGAAGAAAGCAACTGATGACTCTTAGTCGCGTGACGTAAAATTTGGTATCGAGTTCCTGTTCTGTGTTGTTTTGGCCGAGTTTGCACGAGACTCAAAAGATTTCCCGAAAAGCAGAAGAAAGGATGACAAGCTAGTCGCAGCGCATCTTGTAACCAAAAGTCGGGTTTGTCATCGTCACCGTTCGCATATTCGCCACGATATGGGAAGTTCCACGCTTCTTATATCATCGGAAGCAACATGCAGGGCCCACTGCAGCTGGCAGATCCAGCGCGGGGCTCGGATCAATGAAGTATGCTGCTAGCCAGAATCGGCATGACGTCAACCGCTAGACTGCTTTGGGGTGGGCAGCGTATCAGCGCTGCAGATAACGAAGTGTACGCGAACATGTACGCCAATGTTTCCAAGGTTGGGGGAGGCTTGAGGGAAGGATGGGGGTCGTTTGTGTGACTCGAAACTGCTTGAACGTAACCTTGCGTAAGTTGCGGCATGCAAGATTGTTCGTCTTGGGACCACTTGTACATAGGCAACCAATTCCATGGGAATCTCAATTCGCGCTCTCGGCAGCGATACCCGTACCAGCTTGGCTTGATAATCATGAGTGAGAACTACTGGGGACCCCGACCCGGAAGTTGGATGCTTGTCGGGTTGCTGCTGCGCTCAGGCAGCGTGCATTGCCGGAGGCTGTGGAAACCTGATCTTCACGAGCTGGCTGGGGAGCTGCATCAAGAGTGGAGTAGATGTTTTGCATATGCGTGGGCGGTGTCATCATACGGGGCAATGAGACAACACTATGATATACCAAAGTGGCCCGAAGACGCATAGCTGCAATTTGTCGTCTCCCAGTCGATCGGCAGCGTGAGCCCTGAGAATATATCGATCTGTGCAGACGGGTTGACGGGAAAGATCAAATCGTCCCGTGGCACGTCGGTCTCCAATGTAGAATCCGGGATCTGGGCCACAGTGGTGTGGCTCTTTGATAAATTTATCCGAGCAATGTGATTGACTTCCTTTGCCATCATCTTCCCCAGTGGCCAGACGGAACCCATGGAATTGAGAAAGCCGATACTCAGTCTGATTCTATCGCGTGCGATGGCTAAAGCGCGGTCTTCGAGAAGATATCTGCAAGCAGAAGTCTGTGTTGTCGCGAGTCGGGCAACCATGTACATGGTGAATACATTGTGCCTCTCCATAGTGCATGGAATTGCAAGAAGCTTTGTGTGCATCTCGCTGGCTTTGAGGACACGAGCAGTGTGTGCTGCGCGTCCTTGTTGAGGTGGTGTGACGAACAGGACCATGGGCAGGAAGGACTTCGTGGCTATTTCCTCTTCACAAATGACTAGGTTCGAGAACGAGCGATGTAGTCCGCTCAACGCGATAGTCGCAGCCATATGGGCGGCGAACATGACCTCGTCAATTGCGCCGTCTCTTCGCAATGGATCCTTTTTGCACGCTGGTAGAAGCGAAGTCCAGATGGCAAGCTTGGTGTCGTGCACCTCGATCATCGCTTCTCCAAAAGTGCCACTCTCTACAAACATATCCATCACAGACTTAACGATCAAGTGAAGATCATAGAAATAGGCAATAGAAGAGAAGACAATCTCGAGCTCCGCAAGCTCACGATCTTCATAGTCGTGAAGACTCATGACTGGAGGTATCAAGCCGGAGTTGAAGTGCTCGTCATCGCAAGGGAGATCGACCGTGTTTGAGACATTAGCCAATGTGTATATAGGAGTGTTGGAGAAAACCGCAAAGTCTTGGTTGGCGATGGCGAGAAAGTAATACGTTCGTCTCCAAGACTCTTCGAGCACGGGGCTGCCTTCGCCATACACCTGTGCAAAGGCTTGTTGATTCATGTGTAGCTCCAATGCAATCTTCACTGCAAGATTGAGCTGACCTTGACCTTCTGGTTTGCAGTCCGAATGATACTCTGCAATCGCAAAAAGTAATAGAGCTTGCACGTTGAATGGCGTATGGGCGAGGAAAGGTGATTTGAGTGCCTGTATTGCCGTCTTCTTGTACGGTCCTGGACCTAATCTAATCCATGGGGCATAGACAGCACCAATATATTGCAGAACAAGGAGGAGTGTTTCCATTCCGTGACCATCATTTGACAGTCTCCATTGAAGGTGGTGAACGGGCAGGATGATGGGAAGAGAAGGCCAGAAGTTCTCAAAGTACAGCTCCAGGAGTCGAACGGAGTCGACGTGGAAAGCAAGGTCACTATTCGGGTACTGCGTCTCTATGTTCGGAATGAGAAGGCTGTCTGAAAGATCTACAGGGATCTCAGGTAAGGCAGACTCGTCCAAAAGAGATGAAATTATGTTAGGTTGGTGACATTGTGCATCGTTAACGCTCTGCTCACTAAGAGTACCATCTTGCTCTTTCTGAGTGCGCTCTGCTTCTTGTTGCAATCTCAATTTCCGCCGTGCCAGTGCTGCTTTGTCCAGTCCTCCTCTTCTTGACTTCTTGTAAATGCATTCTTTTCTATCGCGTTTGCATCTGTTACAAACTGGTTGCGAAGCATCGCACTTCACGTGTCGAGCACGGCATTGTATGCATGCAAGATTCACGCGTTCAATTCTGTCGGCGTCTGATTCAGCTGCTATCTCCATTTGAGGGTCGATTGCGAAGCGGGGTATGTTCGCACGTGGCGCGGTCGATCCGGAAGACGTCCTGGTTGATGGAGGTCGACTTAGGAAGCTTTTAGATAGTTGCATGCGAGCAGGGTGTAGGATGATCTCGTCACAACTTCGAGTCTGACCATGAGAAGAAACCAGTCAAGCTGATGGCCTCGTTTTGCTTAGTAACTGCCAAGTGTCAGTTGTCCCTCGGCATACCTGGGGTTCCAAGGTTGGTCGCACCTTCTGCCGCCCACCTTTCGTAAAACACGGCATGGTAGGACTGTGCGAGATGTATACGATTCCATACTACAAAATTCGAGCTGTGACAGGATCTGTGCTTTATATAGCTAAGCTCTCGCCCCCATCTTTCTTAGTCTTTGGCACGATCTTGAGGGAGAAATCCACATGCGGTACGCCTTGGTGTATGCTGCTTGTGCTCACGATGTCGATATCTCCACACACGTACTTCTCGACGTTGTGCTCTGTGAGACCACCGCTTACCTCCACCAAGAACGCCTTCCTATCGCCCGTTCCTCGGCCCCACTTCTCTTTGAGCTGCGCAGCCGCGACCTTGACACCATCTGGAGTGAAGTTGTCCAGCATAACAATGTCAGCGCCTGCTGCGATCGCTTCATCTGCCTCCTCGTAACTCTGGCATTCGACCTCGACTTTGGTAGCGAAGCCACCCGCTGATTTGGCAGCACGGACAGCGTTTGTGATGCTGCCAGCAGCGACGATATGGTTGTCTTTCAACATGGTCATGTGAGACAGATCGACTCGATGGGCATCAACACCACCAACAAGCATGCCGTACTTCTCAACTAGCCGGAATCCTGGAGTCGTCTTGCGCGTCCCAGCAAGAATGTTGGGATAGCCAGCTTTGCGTAGTAGCGTAAGTAATCGGTTCGACTTTGTTGCTATGCCTGAGCACCGCGCAAGTGTGTTGAGCGCTACCCGTTCGCCAAGGAGCAGCTTGCGAACTGGTCCTCGAACAGTTGCACAGTGAGTTATAGGCTGGAAGGATGAACCCTCCTTAACGTGCCACTCTACACTTGTGGAATCAGTAGGAGCATTTCTATGGTCTAGAGTCATACTCACGTGCAGTCGAGCTGTCGGAAAACCTCATCGAAGAAAGGCACCCCTGCAACTATGCCCTGGTATCGTTTAGTACCAGGGTGGAGGGCCTAAAGTCCATGCATACCTCGCTCTTGCCGAGCAGCTTTGCTTCACTGACATCGTCTCCAACAACGAAGCCACCATAATCGAAGCTCGGGGTATCCTCTTCGAGCCACTCCGAGATGTAGCGCTTGTATGTCTGTGGCAAGAGGTGGGCCACAGCACCGTGCGCTGGCGCTCCTTCTACTTTTGCCATGTTGATTCGAGGAGATGAGAAGAGAAATGAAGAGAGCAAGTGATGAATTTCTGAATCAGGCTAGAGATACTGAGAAATGGGAAGTTGCACACGGAGTCTAGATCGGTGGTTGTGACGCCGGCCTCGGTAGTACATTGAGGTTATCGATAAGATGACGCAGCCGGCACTAAGCGGCTGTGTGTGCCGGACATGCACAATTGTCGTAGTCTTCGAACTCAAACTCCGAGCGATGAACTTGATTTCATGTTTGACGTAGATCTGATGGTAGATCAGATCTCCGACTTCCCTTTTGATCCTCCAAAAGCCGCCAATCGCGCCTTCGCATCTTCCGCTGCGACCCTGATCAAAATGACTCTCCTCTCCCTTTCGCCAGCCAGCCTCCTCGCCTCTATATCGTCTTCCGCGCCCATAGTCAATCGTTTCGCCATCCTCAGAGCCTCTCCACTATACGTCCCTAATCTCTTTGCCTTGTCAAGCCCGCGAATAGGAAGCTTTCCACGCTCTCAGCTTCCACGACGCCTGTGACCAGCCCCCCAACCCACGCCTCGTGCGCAGACAACCGGTCTCCAGCCAGCAGAAGCGCGTTCGCACGTGCCTTACCCATTGTGTTTAGGAAATTGTATGATGAGCCTCCTTCAGGTACCATACCGAGGGATGCAAAGGGTGTCTGGAAATAAGCAGATTGGTGCGCGTAGATGAGGTCGAAAGAGGACAATTGGTACAGCCCCGGCCAATGCTTGCACCGTGGACGGCTGCGATGAGAACTTTCCGGTAGGCTGTAAGCACACCAGAGAGAGCGCTGCCGGCAGCGACTACGGCATCAATGGTGTCTTCTGCGCCGCCCATTGCTCGGCCAACGAGTCGAGCATCAGTATGAACAGGGTAAACACGTGTGGAATACTAACCTGCACCGTAGTGCTTGCCTCGCCCAGTGCTGTTACCATCAATTCAAGCCCCCAACACTTTGCTCCAGTCGGCTGACTTAAACAACTACGACTTGCACATCAGGCTCATCTCGCGCCCAAACCAAGCCTTCCCTAAAACCATTATACTGCTGTGGATCAAAAGCATTCTATTGCTTAGGTGTGTTAAATGTCAAAAGGGCTGCGCCGTCAGATATGCGCCGGCATATGATGGTTCTAAACGTTGGAGGCGGCGACAATGTAGGTTCGATGCTTGACTAAGTAGAAGACCATTCGCGGAGCATCATCTTGATCTGAGTCAAATCGAAAAGTACTTTTTGTGCGTTTCGCATTTCCGAGATCGGCGAGAGTGCGATGTGGGACTGCCTCGGAATTGTCGACTCGCTGTAGTTGATAACAGTCTCACATGCACTGCATCGCGCTGGTAACAAGGAGACAAGTCCGGGAATCCAAACTTACACGCAAAGCTCAACGGCGCCAGGTGTTACAATTGTTCGTGCTCGCTCTGTCTAAATGCAAGCTACTATTAGAGGGCAGCTGTCTTCTCATTCATGAGCCTGAACAGGCTCGATAGCCTATTAGTACGTAACGGAGTGCTAAACGAATCCAGAATTAGACACCTTGATACTGCCCTTACATAGTCCTGAGAGTCTTAGGCACAGCGCGCACGAATAATTGCAGCACCTGGTAGCGGGAGTGCATGTATCTTCAAAATCCAGGGCATACGAGCCGCACCTACTTCGTACATCCCTGCTGGTTCCCTCGTACTTGTCAGACTGCATCAAGCTGCAACGCAACAGCTGTGTTCCATCGAAACAGCGCTATTATTCGATGTTGCCTGCTAGAAAGTTACTGTTACTAATCGTGTAAAGGAATTATCAGCAGTAGACGCAATGCGCGCGCAACTCCAGACTGCGCCTTGTATCGTTCGCACACCCGCCTTGACCGGTCTCGCCCATGCTCAGTAGCGACATTCTAAGCATTTGATTCGCATGAGCCATTAGCTGGCATCGCCACCGCCATATGCATGTAATCTGCATGAACGAGTGGACCAGCCAAATGCGCCCCCAATTGAAGCACGATGAGGGGCTGTGTCAGCCACAAGGCTATGACAGTTCTCATTTTGTCTGTGGTTCTTTCTCCTCATCTTCAAACGAATTCATACCAACTACGTCGATTAAACACTAACATTGAGACATGGCCGAAATCATTGGGGTGATCGGCAGCACGATCGCAATTGCAAACAGTGCTGCCCAGCTGTCTAGAGCGCTCTTCGATATCGTTCAGACTTTCAAAAATGCTCGAGAAGAGATTGCCGACATTGCCCATCAATTACAGATTCTGGGAGGAACCCTCCATTCGCTCTGGAACATTATGCACTCACAACACAACCTTTGCCAGCCGGTCCTGTTCGACAACACGAATGCGATTCTTCACCAGTACTGCAAAGTGGACAAAGAATTGAGAAAGTTGATTGACGGTCCGAAAAGCTTAGCAAGGCTGACGTGGTACATCAAAAAGACCAAGGTGAAGTCGTTGCTGAAGAGGGTTGAGGCCATCAAGATCTCTTTGGCCTTGGAGCTCACCGTGGTGCAATTTGCCAGAGAGGAGGTGATTCGTCAGTGAGTGATCGATACGCTATGAGATCCGACCCTCTGTGACTAATATCAACAAGACCGGCCGAGCCTAATCGTTATCGCCCTCTTCTTGAGAGCGCTGTCCAAGCTAATCGTCAGATCGTTGAGAGTGCACAACGTGATAGCATCGAAAACACTCTTGCTTCTGATCAGCGGCGTGCCGAAGTGGATGTTTATAGAGAGGGCACTTTCGACACTGCCACTTGGCTCTATCATCTTGTCTTCACCTCACAGGCGGCCGAAGTCCCGAAGAAAGTGCCGAGAAAGGACGTTCATCGACTACAACCAAGTGTCGTTGACGAGAGCACCGAGAACCTAGTCCGCTTCACACGCTCGCCCCTTCAGTATAGTCCTCGGTCGCCGCCACCACCACCATCACCAAGCACAGGTGATGCGGACAAAACTATGATTGTCTGGACTGCACAGACAGAGCCCAATCAGGTCATTGACAGACTTCTCTCGACATGGACAACGCTCACACATGAGCAAATCGGACTGAGCTCCAGGCAACATGTGGATAACAAGTGGCGTAAAGATTTCCTCAACACCATTGAGCAGGCGAAGCATGAGGGGGAATCAGACTTCAATAAGTGGGAAGAAGACAACCCCTATAGTTCTGAAGAAAGTGATAGCATCGAAAGCGCCATCGATGAGATCCCGGGGCCCCACCGTCACCGAACGCGTGTGCCTGACGTGGTTATCCGCAACAATCGCGTTTCGAACACTTCCTATGACGAGTCTACCGCAACTTCCAAAAGTGACGATGAAGAAGAGGAGGATCCTGTACCAACATACGTGTCTACCAACTCGAAGAAAGGAAATAAGAAGGGCGGGGAAAGTCGCAATCTGAAGCAAAGCAAGAGTCACAAGAAAACGAACACCAACCATACGCGGAGCGACCGCGCACATACGGCGGCGGGACGAACGAATCCGTTTGTGAACAACGTCTCAAGTCCGCCAAGACGACCCAGGACTAGCCGGTACTATTCAGAGGCTGACAATTATGCTGTTCCAAACGGTGTGCCTGGGCCAGCACCTGTGTATCCTCTATATCCCAGCCATCATCCCCAGTTTCCAGTGCCAAGGTCGGATAGCTTGAACCCTTTCACGTTGGGTGGCTTCCAAAATCCATACGAGTCACAAGCGAGCCGAAACCCTTTCGTATCGGGCAACTTCCCCTCAACGACGTTTCCAAGCGACCCACCATGGCCGCCTCAAGCACCATTGCATGAGGACACGATGGCGCATCCCTCATCCACTGCCTCTTTGAAGAATGCCAAGGAGCAGAAAGATTCGCAGGATACCACAACGACCTCCAAAGAAGATGCTATGCTGGCAACAATCAGCCGTTTGATCGCAGACTCGGGCAAATCGAAAACATCCAACATAGAAGACCCTCGTCTTGCAAATATACTGCAAATGCTCATATTGCAGCAGGAACAACATGCTGAAGTGGAGCTGGAAAGAGCCAAAGCAACAGCTGAAGTGGAGATGAGGCAAATCTTAGCAGCTCGCGATAGAGACGACTCAAGAATTCGACAGCTAGAGGCACTCATTATTCAACAGAAAGAGGAACAGGAAAAGTCTGATGCAAGGTGGAGAGCCGAAAGAGCAGCACTCGACGAAGAGTCTACAAGACAAGCACAAGAAACGAAGGAACTAGCTGAGCGAGAAATAGCAGCAGCACGCTCTGCCAAGAAAGCTGCACGCAAGGCACTCAAATTTGCGCAAGCGGAGGCAGAGAAGCGAGCAAAGGAAGAAGCCGACGCGAAAGCAAAAGCCGAAAGAAAGAAGACGAACAAACAGTCCAAAGAACGTATACAAAAGTACGAAAAGCTCTTAGATGCAGCAGTAGAGGGCCGTGCCGCGGCATTTCAGAGCATGGAACAACCCCTCCGTCGAACTTGCATCACGGACGGTAAGCGCAGCGTGGAAGTTGCTGAGTATAGCTCAAAACCGCACGCGAACTCAAGTATACTTACTCCTGGGTTTATTCAAGACGCTGTGTACGGCGCAAGAACAGACAATCGTCTGGACCACGGCCGCCAACGCATGGGGCAGCGCTGGCTTAGCCAGTCGTATAGCTCCGTTACTTCACAACCCAACTCACGGCTCGTCCCACTAGAGATGAAAGATACTACCGAGACACAGCACGACATCAATCAGCAGATGATCCTATTCCCCGCTAGGCTCAACAAAAGCTCGGCGAAAACTACAGAATTACAATCATCACTTGCCAAAATTGGCGTCAACACTAGCTTTGTGGAGAATGAGTTTAACCATTTCGAAGCTTCTTCTTACATGGAAGATACAAGCAATGAGGGAGTACGAAGTAGCGTTTTCTGGGAGGGACCATCGTCAAGCTTAGGCAGCGAGCTCTTGTCCACATACAGAAGATTTGGATGGAAGCCACCTTATGCTCGAACATCAAGTGAGCTAAGCGTATAGAACTTGTCTTCTCGAATGCTAATCGTTCTCAGGCTTGGGTCAAACGCACTTCCTTGGCAGTCAGCCTATACATTCTTATTTCTTTCAACCGGACTATAAACCCCAATTCTCTTCCTGTGAACCATCAGTACACACTGAAACTATCATCATCGACAAGGCATTGATCCATGAGTATGCATTGACTGAAATGGGCCATAAATTTTGCTCTACCGAATCAGGATCATATGAGCTGGACGGCAGGTTACAATACGTAAGTAGCATGGAACCAGACCGAAGCCCATAGAGTACTAACCACCATACGCAGAGTGACATCGAAGCCCTCATCGAGCGATCGTTCCAAATGCGAGAAAACTATCTTCGAAAAGCATATCGGCAATTAGGCTGGCAACCAAAACCCGCGCAAGAGACAAAGAAACCTGCCCCGATCAAGACATCATTGATACCAAGGGTGCCACAGTCGCCAGTAACTGCAACGGAAAGCCAGAAGTCGTATGCCACCTCAGAAGACGAAGAAGATGAATCTGGGTACCAAGAGGAGAGCGATCGTGACGACTTGGAGTCTACAGCGAGCAACAATGACGATACTGGGTCGCAAGTGACAGCCGGGGCTACTTCTACTGAATTTGAAGAGCAGAACGAGGATGATGACAGCACTGCTGATACGGGTCTCGACGTGGGTCATGATTCTAGCGAGACTTCGAATGTGTCGACTTCGTTGACGACATGGTCGTCTAATTCCAAGAATCCGTTCCGTAATGCCTCTGCAAAGTCTACGAAGAGTGGGAGAGGTCGCGCAACCAGCGAGAATTTCGTACAGACTGCTTGGGACGAACCTCTTATTCTCCTTGATTAGCTGGGGTGTCCTTGCTACTGCGAGAAGCTCTTGATGTGTCACGACGTCTATCATGTCCCAGTCAGAAAATTATGAAGCATTTCGATATTTCGCGTCATATTTTAAGTACTCTGCAGTGTCCATACCACTAATTTATTTACCCGGAATCCAAGAGCCAGAATCAACTTACTGCGAAGGTCCATTCGTTTTGCCAATTGAAGCAACCTCAGAAGTGTTTTGTTTGCAGATGGAGTGAAGAAGACATGCTCACTCAAACAATTCACAGGGAGCATGTTCTAAGATGATTACAGCATTTAAAACCTGTCAAAGAATATCGCATACACCTTCTTAGGTTTCCAAGGGGTGGCGGAGTTGAAATGATGCTGTATTTCTCCAGACTGCTTCACGTACAAGCCGCTCCTTGAACATCACAAATGGAAGCGACGTTGTAAAACGACCACAATCGGTCCGATCATCTCCAACTCCCGCAGCATCGATCCAGGGTCCAAACATCGCAGCAAACGCCTCTGACGAGCACGCGTACATCTTCCTCCTTTCCATTGACTCGTTTACCAGGACCCCGCACACGAGGGCGCAGTCCTTCGCATATGCGAGATTGCATGGGTTCTTCCCGCTCAGCAAGCGAAATGACGTAGGCGGATCCTCTTTGATGGGTGGAGTACAAAGCACCTCCGTGCAGGTTGTGAGATTGATGCAGAACGTCAAACTTACGTCTGAATTACTAAATTTCCGCCTCTTGCAACAAGCGAAGCAGAACATCGCTGAAGATCATCATGGCGTCCAAACAAGTTGACGAATCGGCTCAGTTCCAAGGTTCGTTCCGCTGTACACTAGATACTGATCTTCGCGACATGCACGTCACGGCCCGAATGAATGCCAGCTAACGCTATACAGAGCCTATATCTCCAACGGCTTCGAATGATGCAACGTCTCCTGCTCCAGCATCGGGCTCTGCCGATTCGGCCAAGCCCTCGATCACGGGCATATTGAAAAACGCAGTGAAAGCTCCTTCGCACGAGAAATTAGTCAACGACGAGCCGGATATGAAAGATGCTATTGAGTCCGTCGGACAGGATGGTGGCGAAAGGGGTGTTTGAAAAGGTTACTAAAATGAAGAATGGTTTGAACAGAGGACGGTTTCCCGATGAGAAATCGAAACACTTACACAGCACCACGTAGCGTAGCAATAGTCAAAGCCATATAGCTTGGACGCCTTTCTAGCAGCATTTCGCAAGGCGCTGTTAATCTTTTATATCTCTGCCCCACTGCGCATACCATAATCAGCTCGATTCTTCCTATTCTGTAAAGTGATACTCACCTGTCGGGCTGTCTCAACGCTCTTCGCGCATGCCAGGAACATGAGCATTATGGTACTAGCCGGTGATGTAAGCAACAAAATAGATAATGTAGGTCCACGGCTACCGGTATGTGAGAAGACATTACGCGCGGAGTTGCGCAATATCAGCTCTTTACGAGCGACATGTAGGTGCCAGAAAACCTCTAGCATAAGGTCCTCGAGGAAGAACAAGTCAATCCTCGTATGCCGGTAGCATTCTGTATACCTTCAGGACGCGCTGAGAGATTGACCAGCTTCGTCGCCTGCGCACATGGCGCCTATTACCAAGATGATTGAAAGAGCTGTGTTTTGTGCACAGCTCATCCTCAAATCTAGCATACCTTTGCGGCATCAGTGGCATACTTTGGAGGCGATGCCCAAGGTCCTTCAAGACCCCAGTCCAGGCGTCGAATTTCGCAGGAGCGGCGCGCAAAGTAAATGGACGACTAGCTGTCAACAAACCGGGATTGTGGGCGCCGGTAGGGTCAGTGATGATTTAAATGTTGCAGCTGTGGTACCGATGCTCTCGATGCTGAGAGGATGGTTGTCTGCAAGATCCGCCTGATAGACGTCAACATGGTGGTAGAGGCTAGCCGGGCAGACAAGTCGCTTCGACTCGTCCCTACTTAGAATGAGATAGAAAATAGGGTCGAGGAACACGTCTTTAAAGCTACAGAGGTGGCTGGTAATGTCAAAAATGTGCCTGGAAGAGTGCGCCTTACTGTGAGCATCCCACTGTCCCGTGTTGGAAAGGACCGTATGTGAAAGTGTAGTTAAGCGCGAGTGACTGCATCCACGAAGACGAATGAGCGAATTACTTATCGCCCCCGTCTTTGGTTTACTGAGACAGAAGAGGATAATGTATAATCTCACAGAATTCAATTTAAATGCTATGCAGGAGAAGAAGCTTTACGGCTCCTCGTCTCATCATCAGGTAGCAGACCTTCACAGTCCCAACCCCAGCAAGAATATCCGCCAAATATGTATCAAAGAAGTCAACAACCACCACCTACAGACGGCGATCATACCTGCCCTTCGGCGTCACCGCCACAGCAGCCACCTTCCCCTTAACTTGCTGATACCACCTCAACCCCCTAACCTCCCAAAAGCTCTCCGCAAAAGCCCCCGGATTATCCCTCACATACGCCTCACACGTCTGCGCGCCCGTCTTCTTCCTACAGCTCTTTTCCCACTCCTGCCCCGCCCAATCCCCGCAAAATGTCGTGTTGAAGATAATCCGCAGGTCCTTGAAGCGCTGCTTGAGGTCGCACTTTTCGGCGCCGAAGCGCGCGATCGGGGCGCCCCATGTGCTCGGCTTGGGAGATGTGGATTTGGAAACGGTCTTGTAGAGGGGCGAGGCGTACGGGAAGAAGTACACGGATATGGCGTCCGCGGTCCAGTCGAGGGCGTAGATGCCGCCGCGGGCGGCATTGAAGGGCGTGCCGTAGGAGGAGAGGAGGAGGGCGTTAGTGTTGGACGAGGCTGATGAGGACCCGATGTGTGCGGGCGAGGGAGCGGTTTTGGGCGCGTGGATGCTGCAGCCCACGTTCTTGTCTTGGTTGGGGGCTTGGACGTCGCAGTTGTCCGTACCTATAGTACCCGAAAAGGAAGCTCCAGCTTCAGTCGAGCCACTGTTGGGATTAGGCGCGGAGGCGTTGCTGATCATACAGCCCTGCGAAGTATGCAGCGTCACGCTGTTGGAGTCGTAGTCGTTGACGCCCTCGAGGATGTCGATTTCGCCGCCCGCGGGCCAGGTTTCTTTGCCGAGCAGCCAGAAGGCGGGCCAGGTACCGCAGGTGCTGGCGGGCATGTGTGCGATATCGGCTATTAGGAGGCCTTGGTTCCAGGTCTTCTTGCTCTCGAGGCGCACGCTGGCGCGGCCTTTGGGGTCTTTGCTGGTGTAGTCGACGCCCATGAACACTGACTTGGTGTCGTCGAGGTAGCCCACGAGGTTCTTGTCGACCGCTTGGGCGAGGCTCTGGTATTGAACAAATCCTTGGGTTGGATCCGAGCCGTTGTAGGCATCCATGGCTGAGAAAAAGTTCTTGTATGAGAGGTCGTCAGAGAGGGCGTATGCGCTGCCGGCAGCGTTGGAGACAGCAGCCAGTGACATGATGGTGACCAGCACCGCGGTAGCGAATGTAGTCGACTGCATTGTTGCGTGGTGTGTGGTAATAACTGTCCTGCAGATGATGTTGGAAATGCGAGAAACTTTTGAACTTAGAAGATGTACGATATCGAAAGATTGTAGAAGGATCGAGATAGGAAAGACTGTTCTGCGCTACTGGGAGGTGAATGGGAAGCAATATAATATTGATATATGCCCGACCCAAAGTGACGTTGTGCGTGAACAAAGAGAGTATGTGGAGATGTTCAAAATTCGAGTAGGCGGAAAATACACAATGGCTGGCTTAACGCCTGATATTGGATTTCCTTTATTCAAGCGATCGCTCCACAATAGAACAAAGCCGAGAGTCCAAGCGCCACAAATTGGCGGCGGTTGCGACAAAAGTGAAGGTGAAGGAGACAAGCGGTCATGTTGGATCTGTAGACAAATTGAAAGGCTGGATGACCCACCATATATGCTTGTGGCCCAATCTTAGGCGCTATGTTCGATTCCCTTGCTTCGAAGTATCTGCAAAACCGGGGAATTACATTAATTGCCGCGCGTCGTAACGCCGTTCTACGGTAGAAAGCGTGGGCCAGTGAGTGTTGGAGCAATCAGGTCTCATTCCAAACATCAAAACGTGCTTGACTGGAATGGTGTGACTGTGCGACGTTGCCGGCGGCAAGGGAGGCAGCGCGCCTAAGTGATAGACTCATGTTGCGGCGAGGAGACGACATAGCCTGGTATCACTGTCAGTCATCTTTTAACACGAGCGCGTATTGGTCTACGCGTCGTAGACGCTGCCGTGCTTTATGGCAGTCAACTAACGTACCTTTGGACAAACAACAGAAACCACCACATCGACCAAACTTCATAGCACGAAAGCAAACATCATGAAGCAGCAAAACATCTGATTATTCCCGCCCTTACTCGAACATTTTCCTCTACCCTAATAAACGACAAAAGTGAATATCAACCTGAAATATCTCATGATGTATGACAATAAGCTACCGTGCTGGTAAAAGCAATATCCAAACCATGGCCATAATGCACAAAGACCGTAACATCATATGCGCTCCAGACCTGACGGATTGGAAGCGTCCGTGCCAGCTGAAGTTATGTCGCTCTTCCAACATAAGATCTATAAACTTTGGGTCGCTAATGATTCAACAGCTAAGACGGGGCGACTGGTGACGAATCTATCGCACCTTGCCGGCTTCTTTTGCTTCCTTGACCTGCTCGAAAACCTGGCAAGAGTGTAAGTGGGAGTGACTAACAGTTGGAAAGGGGCGTTCATACCTTCAACATCTTTCTGCGCGCACCAAGAGCATTGACGCCGCGCTTCTCAAGACCCTCATCATCGAGCTCGACAAGCTCTTGCCATTTCAGGTCCTTAAGATTGTCGGTGTACTTGTGAAGACGGAGGCTGCGAAGCCAGCTGGGAATGTCCTGGAGAAGGCTGGGGTCGGTAGGATCCTCCGGGGGCTTTGAGCTGCCACGACGACCGCGAGGAGAGCGGCCACGATCCATCTGAGAGGGATCGTTCAGGAAGTCGTGTCCACCAGTGGCCATGGCAAATTGATTCAGATTGAGAGCACCCATGCCGTTGTTCATCATGCCGGAGCCACCGTAGTCTGCAGACAAGAAACCATTAGCCTGAGGCGAGGCAAAGTTGCCCATCGCTCCCATGCCCTGTCCTTGCATTGCGAAACCGGGAGAGCTGGGGCGCGAACGACGACCTGTCATTGCAGCCAATTGCTGTGCCTGCAGGGCAGCAGCCTGCTGAGGCGTCAGCACTTGGCCCAACTCGTTTGTCATGAGAATGTTGGTGTTGCCCATGTGAGGCATCCCTGGAGACAGCGGACCATTTCCAGCTCCGTGCGCCTCCGAAGACCGAGCTCGGCGGTATTTGCGCACATCATCCAGCTGAATGCGGTTGTTGACGGTAGAGAGGGCAGCAAGCTTCATGGCGGTAGCATTGGCTACCATGTCGGCCTGGTTGTTAGGCTGGTTGAAGTTTCCAACCATGGGAGTGCTTAGCTGAGACGCCCAGCTGCCTCCACCAGCATACGCAGGCGAAAGGAGGGGCATGTTTGTCGAATTTGCCTCTAGGGCGTTCAGGGTCGTAGTCTGCACATTGTTGTTTTCGTTCTGGAGAGGAAGACGTGGGGAGCGAAGACCCGCGGAAGGTGGGGGCTGAGTAAATTGGCCCATGGGCGTGTGCTGCTGTTGTTGGCCAGAGGACTTGGGGCGGTTGGCGCCCTCATTCCATGGCGAGGCAGGTGGGGCACTGTTGTCCCTCTTGTTGTCTCCCTCGGGGGCTGAGATAGTAGGCGCGGCCATAGAGCCGCGGTCTCCTACGGTGCTGTTGCGGTTCGAGGCGGGCGCAATACCCGTGATGTCGGTGAATTCGGCCTTCTGCTTGGCGATGGCAGCAGCCGCGTCGGGGAACATGCGGTTGATCGTCGTCGTATCTAGGCCCGAGTTGCGCTTTCCAGCACCAGGCGATGGCGGAGGACGGCCAAGGCCCATGGAGTGACGGTTCTCGCCCGTGCCGAGCTTGCTCATGGCGTCGCTCAGCTTCTGCGTCATGGGGTCTGCACACGTCAGCATATCGTCTCTGGCAGACTTGGTGGGGGCTTTACCTTTCTCCCCAAAGTTTGCAGGCGAGAGCACGCCGGACATGGGCAGGCTCTTGGACATCTGCTGCAGGACCTGGATGAAGAAGCGAATCTGCACCTGGGTGGTCTGCTGCAGCAGGGCATAGAGGGCGGCGGTCCTCTCGGCCTCGCTGAGCACGCGGAACCACTGCTCGATGGCGCTCAGCTCGTCCTTGAAGTCCTGGTCGAGCGTGGCCGTGGCCATTTCCTCGAGCGTCGTCTCGTACTGGTCGATGTCGGCGAGCCACTGCTGGGCGGCGCGCTCCATCTCGTCCGGGTTGCCCGACTGCGTGCTGCTGCGGCCAAAGTAGACCTCAGACGCCGGGCGAATGCCGCGGTTGGCCAGCGGGGACGAGAAGCCGCCCATGTCGGCAGAAGCGCGGAGATGGTGGTTGGCCCCGAGAGATGCGCGGGCCGCGGGGGGACGCAGCGAGCTCGAGCCCTCGGGCGTGCTGTTCCTGTTTGCTGCGATGTTGGACATGTCGGGGGGAGCTACAGCAGCTGTTCAGTCTCGTGTAACTGGCGTCAGAAATTCTGCGGGCGGCGGTTAGCACCCTCACGTCACGAAAGTCCGGCGGGGTGTGTGCGGCATACAAGGTGGGCTAGTATGTGGTTTAAATCTTCTTCAAGTGTTCGCGCACTCGGGTCTCCTGCAGTCCGGCTGGCCTCAAAGGAGTCGAGGGTTGCGATGGTCGGTCAGGGGACGGCGCAGTTAGGTGCGGAAGGCTGATGCAGGGAAGCGAAGTAGCTCGGTGGGAATGCACGAGCTCACAGCGCGGTAAGAAGAGACACCGAAGGATACCAAGTTACAACGAAGAAAAGGAAGGAGGTGAAACGGCAGAGCGAGAGCGAGAGCGGACAAAAGCTCACTGTGTGAGATGTGAAGAGGAGAAGGGTCACTGTTTCTCGAAAAGACCAGACGTCGGCCGCTGTTTAGCGCGAGCGAATCCCTGCACATATGAAGGAGGGCTGAGAGCCAACGGCCGCCTAGTCATTCACAGCTTTAGTGTGTGCGACTAGCAGAGCCGTACCGTGTCGTGCGGGACCTCGAGAGATGGCGGAATATTTCTTGAATAATTTAATGCTGTGCCTCTACGGTATATTTCATGCTGCTATTGCCGTGGCATCGTATGCCCGATACCACACCTCCAATGGACCATGATACCCTGATTGTTTCGAGTCGCCCAACGTCCCTGCAACCCCCCAAACATTTGCGCGTACCGTTGCTTCATTTTTAGCTCTACGAGTAGGCAACAGAGCCGCACTCCGGAGCCGGATTGGCCCGTACTAACACCATCCCACGGAGAAACAGAGAGCAAACTGTTCCGGAGGGGTATTCATGCAGAATGCACAGACTGCAATGGATCTAGAGCTTGCTGCTTGAGACGAACTATGCTCACTACACCAAACCCGTCGTTGTGTTGCATTGCAGGACTACTGCACGACCTCGAACCAGCTCCGTATCGCGAAGTGACCCACTTTACCCATCCTGGATGAATCGCCAGATGCATTGACGGATGCGGGTAAGGCACGAGGGTGGACCTCGCGATACCCTCGAGGCGTTTGCCCAGCTTGTCAAACTGTCAGTCATGGTCGAATGCTCGGCGTTCACGACCTGGACCTGGAACGTCACTTGATCTGCCCAACGATGCTCCCCACCATGACGGCAGCTTCGCGTTCCCAGCCGCCGACTGCACCTGTGCCCTTGCTCAGTGAAGCGCTGGGCAACTGCGTGCCCCGATTCACGCAATCCCGCACCGCGTCTCTGACCCTGTCCTTATTGCTCCTTAGCGTCCTCGCAGATACACCGCCCTTGTACATTAACTCCTGCACCCTAGGTGACATGTTGGATGCGAGCGACCTCCAGAAATAGCTCGGCAGGGACGATGTGTCAAGTGTCTGGAGGACAGGTTGCAGCAGGTGTGGAGCTGTCGAGGTGTTCGTGGGAGAGTCCAGGATAGGGTGTGGCGGGGGTTTGATGGACTCGAGAAGCGATTGTAGAGCTACGATGTTCTGACAACGGGCGGAGATCTCGAGCAGTGTGCGCTCCAACGTAGGAAGCTGGGCAAGTGCACGCGCCAATGACGCCAGTGACGACTTCAGCTGTGTCTGCAGGTAGTCTTGCAGCGCATTGAACATTAGCGAAGGGTCAAAGGTCTCTATAGTGGTCTTCGCCGACGTCGGAGACAGCAGGTACAGCGTGAGCAGCGCAGATGTGGTCCTCGACTTGGTGTCTTCAGTCTGCGCAAATGTAGAGGCCGAACCTTGACCCGAAGACGATAACAGTGAGGACATGGAGAACTCCTTGATCACCTGCTGTGCGCGTGAGGATATGCTGCGCTCGCCGGGTATCACCAGGTCGTTCCTGAGCGTGTTGATGGCGTTGACCTTGTCGAGGCCCTCGCCCTCCTCGCCTTGCTTCGAGGCCCGGAATATCTGCCGCAACGAGAGTATCGTGTCGGCAGATCTCACCATGGCTCGGTGGTCTTCCTTCCTTGCGCTGCCCACGCCTCCCAGCTCCGACATGCGCACCTCGAGCTGTCTGCCAAGCATGAGACATCGCGCTACTGCTCTGCCGAGCTTAACTGTCTCGCACAGCCTTTCCGCAGTCAATCGCACCTGCTCTGCAACTTCATATCGCTCGATAACCTCCTTTTCCAGCGTCTTGTACGACTCGGTCAAGCTTGCAACCTGGCCCTCCACCTCGTGCAAGATGCGCCCGCTAGACTCTGCATGGTCTCTCGTATGCTCTAGCAGCGGCAATGCGGATTTGGTGGTAAGAGTGTCGATGTGGGTGTCGACTTCCTGGACATCGAAGAGGACGCGGGAAAGTGGTGTGGACAAGTCTAGCGGGGTATCCGAGGGATTGTTGGTGGACAGCACGAGCGTGTTCGCAAAGGAAGTTGCCGAGAAGTCGGGGTCGAGAAAGGCTTCATAGTCAATGTACGAGGGTTCGTCATCCTTGGACATGGTGGAGGGAGTCGTCTGGAGCTGGCAATGGCCATGTCCACTTCGAAGCTTGCTCAGTAAAGCTGCAGGGATCAGCACGCTAACACGTCTTAGCGCGTCACCTTCACTTGTGGCGCGTGCCGTACCCAGCTTTGGCGTCGCCACCCGCCCTCCGACCCACCGTCAACACCACACAAGGGCTGTGTGGCTGTGCTTCCACAGGATCTACACCATGCATTCCTGCTTTTGAGCAGACTCGGCCCTTGTTCACCACCAAGCATCGCACCATAGCCCTTATTCAGGAAATTGCACTTCTTCTCACCGGTAGCTGTCTCACAATGCAACATACGTACAACATACGTACAACAAACTAGGCACCAACGCTTGAGAGACTTTGACGCGGCTCCCCATTCATACATTGAGATTGGCTGGACCTCTGCGCCCATGCCGTCAGATCCGCCAACGATGCCAGCAGAGTCCGCGGATGCGCAATTCCTCCCCTTATTCTCCACTTACTATGTCAGGCCAGGCTGAACGCCTAACAAAGTCATTATTGTGACTCCCACGGTCTGCAGACTGATGCCTGGCGGAGAATAATGTATTTAAGCGTGTGTTCTCGAGCAGTAACACGGTAGCCAGCTCAAGCACTGATTCATCTTCAATTCATTTTCGACTCGACTTGTACCGTCTAACCAGCTCAACCTTGGTCGACTCCGTACAACAATGGCTGTTACAGATGGCCTCAACGGTACGAGCCAGACAGATGGTGAGAAGCATTTGGCTCCCGAAGGCACGCTCTGTTCAACCAAGAGCCTGTACCAAGGGCCTCTTGATAGCAACAAGAAGTTCACATGGCTCGTCCATGAGCCTAAAGACGTGGCCGAAGCTGCAGAAAACGAGAAAACGGCACAGCATGCCTTCATAACCCGACTACAGAAGGCTGAGGTGATTCGCGTAAGAAATACCAGATACACTCTATCATCATACAGTCCCCCTATCTGAAGAAGGCTCTTGCTGAGATCCTCGATGACTATCCCGGAATTCATTGTGGGCTCACAAGACTGGAATTTGAGGCACCGTTCCGTCCCTTCGTCCACCGATGGCCACAGTTGCTTAAGTACAAAGACAAAGAGGATCTCGATGACGCCACGGCACAGCATATCGGGCTGCTCTACAACGTGTTGAGAGAGGAGCTGAAAGATGTCATCAAAACACTCGAAAACTATGTCGACCATGGCGTTGTCACATTCGAACACATCTGGACCATCTATCAACCTGGATCGATAATCTATTCGAGCTCTCACAACGGCACCCATGGCGCATATCGTCTGAGGGAAGCTAAATACGTCGAGACTAAATGTGGCAACGCCTACCAGCTCACAGTGGAGGCAATCGACTGGGATGACAACCAATTCTGTCGCAACGTCATGTCAATGTTCGTCTTTGAATTCAGCGGCACTTCATCCATTCTTGCCCTAAAAGCGTTTCCCCTCTCATTCCACCCTCACGAGAAGGAAGTTGAGGAAATTCTGATCATCCGCGGCAAGAAGTTCCAGCAACTTGCAGGCAGCAACTACAAGGCATACACCGGCTTCGCCGTGTCTTGGGACAGGGAAGGCAAAGAGATCCCATATCATGTGCAAGGTCGAATCATCGTCGACTCCGACTGTTTTCGACGTTTTTCACACCGCCACACTCGAGGCAGCAGCACAGAGCCTCTTGCCGCCAGGAAAGGCCAACAGAAGTCCGAAGATGATGCAAACGTCGCACCTGAAGCGCTGAAGAACACTTATGTCTTCGGCGAGGAATCAAAAGGAGAGCATGTGGCCCTCGAAGAAATACAGCTTCTGACCTGCTCATCACGTGTGAAAGGCTACTCACTCAACGACAAGAAGTGGCTCCTCTTCTACGTCGACCTCGTAGAGGAGATCAAATTTGACGAAAATGCGTTTAGCTCACTAGTCCTTCCCGAAGATCAGAAGGAGCTAATCTTGTCCTTCGCGGAGTCACAAGCGATGGGCCAGAGTGGCTTTGACGATGTCATTAGTGGCAAGGGGCGAGGTCACATCACGCTGCTCAGCGGTCCACCTGGAGTCGGCAAGACGCTCACTGCAGAGTCCGTGGCAGAACACATGCGAGCACCGCTGTTCATGATGTCGGCCGGCGACCTCGGAATCAATTCGAACCAAATCGAGTCCAAACTTACCAGCATCCTTGAAATGGTCGCAAAGTGGAACGCCGTGCTCCTGCTCGACGAATGCGACGTGTTTCTTGAAGCGCGTTCAGCACATGATCTCGAGCGCAACCAGCTCGTGTCCGTTTTCCTGCGCGTTTTGGAGTACTATCAGGGTCTGCTCTTCCTCACTACGAACCGCGTTGATAATATCGATGCAGCATTTCAGTCACGTATTCATGTCAGTATGGCTTACCCTGGTCTCACGACGGAGTCGCGGAGGCAAATCTGGAGCAATTTCTTGGGAAGCTTGGACGTGCTGGATGGGTTTGGAAATGACGATTTGGACGAGCTGGCGACCGTTGAGCTGAATGGCAGACAGATCAAGAACGTCTTAAAGAGTGCTGCACTGCTGGCTGCGAGGAAGAAAGAGAAGTTGGGTAGGAAGTATGTGGATATTGTTTTGGCCATTGAACGGAGGAGGCCTGGCGTTTCCACTCAAGCTTAAATTGAGGGTGCCAGGAGAATACAGGGACGTTCAATCTCGTCATGGAAGGTTTGTCGTACGGCGAAGCCAACGAAGCCTCGATATCATATACATGAATCACGATTTCCATTGTAATATCAGTTCCAGAAGTTTCGAAATTGCTCATGATACCATCCAACAAATCCCCCCTCCCAGCCCACTCCACCCTCAAAAAAACGCCAACGCATTCGGCGGGCTCGCCACTCCACCCGGCACATTCATCGGCGCACTCGTCAGGAAAAAACTCCACCTCGCCAGTCTCCCACAGACCTCACTCAACCGCTCCAAATCCCACAACTCGCCAATCGGCATCCCCCACCCCGCCAGCAACCATTGATGCAAATGCCACTCCTTCCTCTCCTCACTAACCGGCCACGCCTCGAAACTCCGACTATCACCCGCGACAGCGGCGATCTGCTTGTCCCACAGAAACGCCAGGAGTTCGGGAGAAGCTTCGACGCCGATGTTGCAGGGTTTGGTGGTGGTGTAGAGGGTGTCGAGGGAGGCGCGTTTGGAGGCGGGCATGTTGGCGTATTGGGCGAGGTAGCCAGAGCGGATGATGAGGATGTCGCCGGGGCGCATGGAGGAGAGTGATATGCCTTGATGGGTTGCTGTTGCGTGGAGGTCCGGAGAAGGGGATGGCGTGGGAGGTTGTGGTATCGATTGTGAGGTTTTGCGTAGTCGTGGCCCAGGCGTACCAGTCGAGGAAGAATGCGCGGGCGGCGATGCCGGATTGGGACATATCTGCGTTGTTTCTTAGTTTTTTGGTTGGATATGGGGTGGGGTTGGCGTACGGTGGATGCTGTTGGGCTCTTTTGAGGTGGTGAAGTCTTTCGCTTTGCGGCCCATGTAGTATAGCTTGGGTCGATTAGCGGTTCATCAACGGAAACAAAATCGCGTGTGATTACTCACACCTTCTTCTTGGTATGCATAGTGTCTGCAGCCATCCCATTGACTGCTACATTGTGTATTGAATGACCACTGTCGTCCTGGTCAGAAATCTACTAAGATATATCAAAGGCTGGAACTTGCCTCGTCGTCAAAGGCATACACTCTAGGCTCCTTATTCATGAGCTTAACCTCCAAGTTCTTGCGAGGGTACTGGAAACGAGGATTGCTAGCTCCCTCGAGACACCAACTGTTTGGTTACCATGATTAGCAAACAGCTCGTATGTTCAACTCTTGGAAATCGTCCAAAAGCACTCCAAAGTCCCACATGCTTACTTCAAGCTTACTCGCTCACCGGTCCTAATCTCTTCCGCAGCAGCAGCACGCACGCGCTCAGCTGTCAAGTGGTTCAAAGTGCCCAATTGGTCGTCCGGACCCCAAAGTCCCCAAGCATTTCCCCTGGGCCCATTCTTGTCAACCGGCAGGCTCGCGAACTCGGGATACGGTTTCTGCATAGTTGTGATTCTTCCTGAGTTTTCGGAATCAAGGCGATCAAGACTGCATATATCAGATGATCTTGTCTGGCCTTGACATGCCTTAGCGCGTGCAGTCGTCGGACCCGTGCCGAGGGCGCCTTCCTGCAGCGGACCTGTGCCGACACATGACTCTCTATTTCCCCACAGATGAATCGCGAATCTATATACTCACTGGCCATTCGGCTCTGATTAACCGAGTGGCTTGCAGATTTAGGCACCCCACAATCGAACGTCTCCCCATGGGGTCGTCCACGTTGTCGGGCGCTTCGGACATATAGTGATCCTGGGAAGCTTGATTTTGAGCACCGGCGACTGGGCGGGGGAATTTTTTGTGGCTTGCTCTCGGTATGTATAAAGGGACGATGAGAGTATAAATGCCTTCAAAGCTGTTGTGTTGTGGATTGTCCGGTGCTTTCTTGTCTAAAGCATAACAGTACGACAAGAAAAGCACCATGGCAGACAATACTCAGAAGCAAGCGGAGATCCGCCTTGAAGAGGCGTCGCAGGCTCAAGCTATATTGGCGAGATATGAGGGAGAGCCATGCAAAAAGGTGCTTCGCAAGGTACGTTTCGCGTTCGAACATCCACCGTTCTCACACTCACTTCGTCAATAGATAGACATTCGTCTCATCCCGATCATGGCTGTGCTATACCTCCTCTCTCACATTGACCGTGCAAATATCGGCAATGCAAAGATCGAAGGCATGGACAAAGACCTTGGACTCACTGGTAACCAATACAACATTGCGACGACCATCTTCTTCGTCCCTTATATTATTTTCGGTACGTCTTCGCATGCTAGCTCGCGATGGAATAGCTGCTAATAGTAGTATATAGAGATCCCATCCAATATGGTTCTCAAGCGTGTGCGACCGAGCATCTGGCTATCCATCTTGATCCTTTCCTGGGGCATAGTGATGACATGCATGGGCGTCGTCAAAGACTTCAAAGGTCTTGTCGCATGCCGCGTCATCCTTGGACTCTGTGAAGCTGGCTTTTTTCCCGGCGCGGTCTTCATCGTCTCATCATGGTACCGACGCAGCGAATTGCAGCAGCGTCTCGCCCTCTTCTACACTGCATCCGCCTTCTCCGGCGCATTCTCTGGCCTTCTCGCATTCGCCATCGCGAAACTAGACGGCGCTCAGGGGATTGCTGGATGGCGCTGGATCTTCCTGATCGAAGGGGCTTTGACTGTCGGTGTCGGTCTCTTCGTCCCATGGCTGATCGTAGACAGCCCTGAGCGCGCGAAGTGGCTTTCAGACGATGAGCGGCTATTCATACACACCCGCCTTGTCGCAGACGGAGTAGTCACGTCGACAGAAGAGGGCGATAAGTTCTCCTGGAACCTCTTCTTCAGCGCGATATTTGACTGGAAGGTCGCTGCTGGAATCATCATGGCGTGGGCAAACTCCGTGCCTAATGCCGCGTTTAAATTTACCATGCCGCAGATCATCAAGCAGCTTGGATTTACGTCGTCTACAGCTCAGCTTCTGACAATTCCACCTTACTTCTGTGGCGGTATGGCGGCGTGGATAAGTGGGCGCATGGCTGATCGCTTCAAGTGGCGCTTTCCCTTCATCGCAGGACCTCTTGTAATCCTTACGATTGCTCTCGCAGTGCTCTTCTCACTCGCCACGCGAATCAAAGAGAACGTTGGCGCACTCTACTTCTCCATCATCCTTGCGCAAATTGGAACATACCCACTTCTCCCCTGCATCAGTGCATGGACCGGCAACAATCTCGCTCCATCGTGGAAAAGATCCATCGGACTCGCATGGACATTGGCAGCTGGCAACATCGGCAGCTTGGTTGGCACGAACATCTTCCTGGATAAAGAAGCACCGAGGTACCAGACTGGATACGGAGTCTCGCTGGGCTTTATCTGTCTGGGTCTTGCGACCGCGATTGGGTTGGAGGTTGTGCTCAAGGCGCGCAATAAGCAGAAGGAGGCGTTCAACGAGGATGAAGTGAGAGCGACCTATACAAATGAGCAGCTTGATAAGTTGGGAGACAAGAGCCCGTTGTTCAAGTATATGCTATGATAAGAGTGTTTTGGGAGAAGAGCATATGTTACTCTCAGCTTAGCTACATGCACGTCGTGGATTATAGCAGAATCGCAGAATTACATGAAAATTTCCAGATTCAATTCTACCCCCATGAGCTCGAGTGTATCACATCTAGCCTAGCCTCAGATAACTATGTCCCCAACAAGACGAGCCCCCCTTCCTCCATTCACCATGTTCTAGCTTCCCCCATACCTTTGTCGAACTTGTGCCCCTCTTTCAGGTCCACGTTTTCTGCACACGGAATCAGCCTCTTCACGTCCACTCTCCACACCTACCTGACTTACTTATCCCTGCATTCACCTCCCTTCTGAGCAGAACGTTCAACACTACAATTGCATCTTCGACTTTAGGAGTCTGGCTCCTATTGTCATGTACCTCGCCGATTCTCAACACCTCCCCAATGCTTTCATCATCATGTCGGTATCTTACGAGCATGGCTTTGGCTTTTTGATAGTGGCATGGGCCTTCGTCGGGTCCTTGCGCAGTGACGATGTTGTAAGTGTAATTGGAGCCGTAGAGGAATCGTGCATTGTCTATGGGAATTAGCGTCGATCGAGTAGCAGGGCCTCGGACAGAAGAGCAGGGAGAGTAACTTTGATGAGTTGTAGCAAATTCTGGGCTCCACTTTCAAAGCTCAGATTCGGTAAGTTTGCAAGCTGGTTGGCGGACATGGTGTTTTGTAGATAAGGCTGTATGAAAAGTGGGCGGTTCACGACTTACTTATAGCCAGCATATTTCGATGCTTGCTATTTGCCTTTCTATCGCTGTTATTATCGATATGAGGACAATTGCTCGTGAATACAGGTACACAGTGTGTAATCCAAGAGCCCTCTTTGCCGTGTATTATTGGCGCGTGGTGGATACATTTAATTCACTGCTAAATTCCGGTTGTCTGGAAAGCGGTCGAAGCAAGCAGGCCGAGTTAAGAGTATACGAAGAACCAATAGAGGCACATTCTTTAACATCAAGATCAGAAATCTGCAAGTAAAATCTGCGCATTGAAATATACATCCATAACATCGAGGGTACCGTCACCTCCGCTACCATTCTTCTTCTCCCAAGATCACGCAAGCCCGCCTTGCCCCATGTGCGCTACTCAACCGCGTCCCCTTCCTTCAGATCCAAGTTTCCTGTGATACATCAGTTCCATTCACTTTTCAAAGCTACCCGACTTACCTCTCTTCGCTTCCACGGACATATTCAGCACTGTATGCAAGTGCAAAATCGCTCTCCACAATTGCGGCTTCTCTGAGTCAGAACCATGATGTATCCCGATCCTCAACACCTGCCATTTTCCTTCTCCATCCTTGTGGTAGCGTACAAGCAAGGCTCTAGCTGCTTGACCGGTGTATAGACCCGTGCTGGTGTCGGGATCTCGTGCGGTGGTGATGATGTAGATGTATTGTGCGCCTTAGAGAAAGCGCGGGTTGTCTGTAGAATTAGCATCGATCTGACGGATAGAGCAGGTGAACATGTACCTTTGATTAGCTTGGGCAGATTCTCGATCTCGCACTGGACGTACATGGCTGGTTTAGAGGGGAAAATAACGGTTGCGGATGATATTCCTTGGGAAGTGCGACTTGTATGTGGCCTATAGGGTGTTCGGCCAGGTTCTTGTTGCTTGTTGGTCAAGCGCATTTATGTCGGAGGCGAGGACAATTGGACATAGGAGCAAGCATGGTGCTTGATTGCAGGGACGTCTCATTGCTATGATGTACAGAAGTTCTGCATTTGGGACGAAGTGTACTTAAGCAATGAGGGCAAGGCGTGGGTATCAAAGTCTGTGGCATCTATGTGTATTTGCACTGCAGCCCCAAAATACAGGTTCTACCACCGGCTCATGATTCAGTCTGCGTGCGTTGATCATACGACTACTTAGGCCACGCAAAGAGTCGACTCATCTGTGTTGCTGCAAAGAATTTCATAATGAGGATGAAGAGATTTGCAAGTTCCGGAATCTCTGTGCTGTTCACAAGCTGTCTGTTTTGACTGTGCATTAGTTAGCATACCAAGGACCAGTACGGGCGTAGCTGCAGTAATGCATGCCTGCTCATAACTGTGAAGAAGACTAGTCAAGCAGTGAGGGTACGACGTGGACAGCAAAGTAATCAAGATTTTCAAGAATGAACGATTTTGCATTGAGCTATCATGAACAAGGCTAGCTGAGCAGCGGGTGAAGTACGACCTAGACCGCGAGATCTAGCTGTAAGACAGTATACGTGAACCACTCTCGAGGTACCAGCCATTTGTCCATAATCCTCAACCATGCCTTGAAAAGTGTTTTCAATATTTTCTGCATCAAACGTGGGATTCCTAATTTTCTTCTACTGAACAGTAAGCTGATACGTGGTATTGCACTACCGATGCGAGGGAGACGAGCGAATTCCACTTGTGTCGATGCTTCAAACATCGGTCGAATCTCACGAGCAGCCGCGTAGCCCAGACTGATTCTGGCCTCCAGTCGTCAAGGTATAGACATGAAGGTGATCAACATTAAGATGAGCGAAGGAGAAGCGCTCGGTAAATTACGACGACCTGGGGAGGGAGAGGTGCCGCAAGAAAGCTTCGTGAAGATGATGCACCAGAGCAGCGCGTTATCAAGGCGAATGAGGAGACTTGAAGTGTGTAGGTGTTCGGTCCGAGAAGGAGGACCATTCCGGACCATGTGATGAGATGAGATATTCGTGTCGCGAGTGAGTCGTGAGATGCAGCTCAGGTGGAGTCGAGCATATCCAGATTCGTAAAAGGCCGATCAAGCAGTGTGGGGAATTTTGAAAGCGCGTCAGGTGGTTCCTACGCAAGCAAGTCCGAAGGGTTAATGGTAGGTCCACTGATCGCAAGGGGCGAATGGAAGAAAGAAGATAATACAAGCAGCGCGCATTATGCGTTCCGCAAACATGGTGGGCCAAAGCCACCAAGAACAGAGTCGGCCAGACCAGCCAACCGATAAGAGAGCAGATTCGAGCCCATCATGACCATGGTATAGTACAATAGGACAGCCCGAGATGTCCCAGAAGCGCCAGTAACCCGATCCGTGTGGTGAGGAGAAATCAGATGACTCGTATCGAAGGAGGTCGATCAGTGACCGCGTAAGTAACCGTGAAAAGAAAGAAAATTTGAGTTCCAATATACACTTGGAATAGCGAGTTTAGATGCAAACGCCTGTCGTCCGGGCAAAGGAATCGTCAGAGCGTTGACATAGTGACCATCGATGCCAACCACAACTACTTAAACATCGCGCCGCCAAGGTCCGGGAAGAGTATTCTTTATGCCTGAGGCGGGCCAGTAGGCTGACGCTGAGGGTTGCGTTGAGCCTGTTGACCGTTCTGGCGGGGTTGTTGGACCTGACCCATGCCCTGGCCTTGTTGAGGCTGGCCTTGGCCTGGTGGAGGGTTGCGGCGCTGTCCCTGGAACTGACCACCACCACCACCACCACGTCCGCCGCGGAAGTTGCCTCGAGGGTTCTGGCCTTGGTTGTTGCGGACAACCGTACCATCCTGCTCTTGCTGCTGGCCCGGCTGGCGCTGCGAGCTAGAGATGGGCCGGGGAATGTTCTCCGGTGACTCGTACACATACAAGTTCTTCTCGATGACCTGTGGGATCGGTTGGATCTCAGTGCCTAGCTCCTGTTCGATCCTGTACAAGTTGAACCTGTCTTCCCAGTTGATGAGGTTGATAGCAAGACCAAGATGTCCGAAACGACCAGAACGACCGATACGGTGCAGGTAAGTCTCGGCGTTCTTGGGGAAATCGAAGTTGATGACAACATTGACAGCCTGGATATCTATACCTCTTGTTAGAAGATCAGAGCATACGAGGTTTCGGCAGACGCCGTTGCGGAAGTCGTGAAAGACGCGATTGCGGTTGTGCTGCAGCATGCGTGCATGCGAGTAGAAGCATGAGTATCCAAGCTCAGTGATCTTCTTGGCAAGTAGCTCGACACGGTTAGTGGAGTTACAGAAGATGATGGACTGGTTGATCTGCAACTTGTTGAAGAGGGTGTTCAAGCAGTGCACCTTCTGCTTCTCTTCGACGAAAGCATAATATTGCGTGATACCACGAAGAGTCAGCTCATCCATCAAGTTGATCTCGTACGGGGAGTTCATGTGCTTGTCCTGCGTGGAGTTAGTGATGTGAGTCACAAGGTGGGAAATACTCGTGCTTACCTTGAAGGTCTTAACCACGATAGGGAAGGTGGCGCTGAACAGCATGACTTGGCGGTCTTTCGGGTGGAATCCAAGCAGTTGTTCGACAACTGGGGTGAACTCGGGCGACAGCAGTTTGTCAGCCTCGTCCATGACGAACGTCTGGCAAGTGGACAGGTCAGCTACACCCTTGCCTGCCAGGTCCAGAATTCTGCCTGGCGTTCCAACAATGATGTGGACTGGGTCGCTCAATCGGATAATGTCGTCCTTGAGACCCGTGCCACCAGTGGACACCATGACGTTGATGCCAAGGTGCTTTCCAAGCGTCTTGCAAACTTGCGAAGTCTGGAGAGCGAGCTCTCGGGTGGGTACGAGGATTAGCGCTTGTGTCTTGGAGATCTTAGGGTTCACGCGCTCGAGTGTGGGAATGACGAAGGCGGCGGTCTTTCCAGTGCCGTTCTTTGCTCGCGCAAGGATATCGCGGCCGGTCAGAGCTACTGGAATCGTCTCTTCTTGAATCGGGGACGGCTTCTCAAAGCCAGCTTCGAAGATGCCCATCATGAGCTCACGCTTAATGAAGAAGTCTTCGAATTCAAGGCCCTTGGTTGCGGTAACATCCTGAAGCAGCCCGTTAGCTTGAAGTACACCTCAGCGCTGCGTGTCGCAGGCTCACCTCTGTTTGTGGTCGCGCATCCTTTGCGGGTGCCTTGAGTCCTTCTTTCCAGTCTGCTAATGTCGATGCTGATGCGTCACTGTCATATCGTTAGCGCACGCCAATCGCGCTGCACATGCCACATACCTCAGCTTGGTCGACGCCATCTGATTGGTGATTTCTGAGGTCATTGTGAAGGTCCACCTGAGGCGGAGACTGTGTCCAGGGTATCAGCGCCTGAAGAGATAAGAGCCGATAGTGGTTGGTGACAGCGAGTGCGACAGAGCGAGCTGCTGTGCGGGGTGTGGGATGAGAGCTGGATCGTGTACGCAGAGTCGAGATGTGGGGTTCGACGGGTGACGGTGAGAGTGCCTATTCACGTGCGGCAGTCTGCGATGGCTTTGCTAGTGGGTAGTGGCTCGAAGAAGCAGATGCGGTCGAGTCGAAGTGGGCAATGGTTGCGTTTTGCCTCGGGAATGGTCTGCGATTGGGGATGGGCGCAAGAGGGAGGCGCGCGGGCGAGGTGACGGTGGGGGCCTCGAGGGGTGTTGTGTGGGTGCGGATATGCAATTTTGTGCAGACAGTGGGCGGTTGTGTGGTGTTGTGGAGGTCGAGCAAGCTTTCTTTATGCAGGAAGGAGCTTGAGGCTGGTGGAGGGCGTCCGTGCAGCTCTCCCGATTGGCCACCGTCATCCTGGCACCTTCCATCTCTACGTATATACCTCCGCTACTATACCCTCACACAATTCCTTTTCTCGTCTCCACAGCGATTGTTCCAAAGCTGTGTTCTGGACATCGGCGTTGTGTCTTCTATCGTTTGTACTTGGTAGACTCGTCGGGTTTTCTTCTGCGTGCGAACATCATCGCTTCGCTATCACGGTCAGTAGAATCTTGAATTCCAAGATTATATACACCCAAATGCTGACCTTTCATATAAGGCATATCGAAAAATCACATAAAGCATATACAATCACTTTGTAACAACTCCACCAACCTAGGACTTCATCATCTGGTTCGGCACATGTACCCACATGTTACACAGGCCCACCAATATTGCGTTGCCCCAATCCTGCAGTATCGAAACATTGCACTTGAATTACCTGGATCTCCCAGACTAAACCTGTCCACTATCAGCTCCCTTGGAAAATCCCACCAACCGTCAATCATGTCCAACATCCTCCGCCTCCTCCGGACCAGCCGGCCATCCAACCCTCTCCACACCCTCCGCTCATCAAGACCCACCCTATCAAGACCTACATCCAGACCATCAAACTACTTCTCCCCCTCGCACTCCCCCTCTCCCTTTCCCCGCTCCCGCCCCTACTCCTCCTACACCGACCCCAGCTCCCAAATCTCCTCCAACCTTACCACGCTCTACGCACTCATGGGCCTCAACATCGCCGTCTTCAGCTACGGCGCCTACGCGCAAGCGCAAGCCCAACAAGGCTTCCCCGCGCCCTACACAAAGTTCATGCGCAATATGAGCTGCAACCTCACCGACGTGCTGCACAACAACGCCTACCACACGCTTCTGACCAGCACCTTTACGCACTTCAACCTCTTCCATTTGGCCGCGAATATGTTTACCACGTACTACCTGGGCCAGTTCTTGTGCTACGCGCCGGTCATCACGCCGGGGCGGTTGTTGACGATTGCGATTGGTGCGGGACTCACGGGCTCGGTGGGATATCTCTGGCAGCGGTATCTGAGCACGGGGGCCAAGGGCGTGGATTATCGGCGGGGTGTGGGGTTTTCGGGCGCGTTGATGGGCGTGATTAGTGTGGCGGCTTGTTTGGCGCCGAGTGCAAAGGTGCAGTTGTATGGAATTGTACCAGTGCCGTTGTGGGCGTTGGTGGTGGGGTATGCGGCGTATGATGGGTATTATCTGAATGATAATAATTCGAGGATTGCGCATTCGGGGCATTTGGGTGGGTTGGCGTTTGGGCTGGCGTATTATGTGCTGAGGCTGAGGGGGTTGAGGGGGATGAGGTATTAGTGAAGAGCATGGATCTAGGATGAGTATGTAAAAAAGACTTCGCGTCGTATTCGTTATTATGCTGCACATCTCAGAAGTCACGAATCGAGAAGAATGCTCATGTGCCCATGTCTGAATATACGATTTTTATTCGCCACACAAGCAAAATCTATCAGTCGCCATACGCACCATTACAGCTCCTATCCCCAACATGTGGACGCCTTAATGCAAGTCCTAACTCCATTACGCTCTCGAAGCCTCTCAGTAATCACACGACCATCATAAAGCCCTTCACGTTATACGATTGCCCAACTAGCTCTTGCGCCATTCCTGTGTCTTGTATCAGCTTAGTTGCATATATCCAGTTCGTAACTACTCACACAACTCCTCGTCATCATCCTCTGCATTGACGCTAGCCATATGTGCTTCGATATCAACAGGCTCAACCGGCGCGGGAGGGTCTTGTTCGACAGTCTTGGCCACTGGCATGGCTTCTTCGACAGACACAACAGGATCTTCGGGTTCGCCCTTTGGCGTGTTGGACTTTGTTAGGGTGCCCTTTGGCGTGAACGACGCAGACTCTTGGGGCTCTTCGTTTCCAGCAACAGACGTCTTTGAGCTCAGGCTCTGGTCTGACTTCCTCGGGCGTCCTCGCTTCTTGGGCACAGGCGTTGAAACTTCGGGCACAGACGTGGCTACGCTGGCGTGAGCAGCAGCCATGGTGTCCTCATCTTCATCCGTGTCCTTCACAAGCTCTTCGGATAGGATGCTCTTGCGTGAAGGCTTCCTGGTCTTCTTCGCAGTGCTGTCCGGTGCTCCGGGTGCTGGGCTGCCATCCTCTGGCTTGGTTAACGCTTCTTCATCCGAATCATCGCGAACAATGTCTTCAGATATGATGCTCTTCTTGGGCCTGCCTCTCTTTCTTGGTGGCTGCGATGCTACTGCTGCAGCTGCTTTGGCTTTGGCCTTCGCTTTGGCAGACTTTTTCTTGCCGGGGTTGAACTCGTGGTCTTCGTCAGATCCCTCCTTCTTCCAGGCTCGACCTTTGCCCTTGAAATGTTTCGATCGGCCGTATGAATCTCGCTCTGCTTCGGGCTCTCTGTCCACGCCGCCCTGAAGTATGGCAAGAGTTTCGTCATCTAGCTGTCCAAGCGGCTCTTTGCTGACCGAGGCAATCGAGACCCTCCTGCTTTGGATACCGGGCGTTTCTTGGACCATGGACTCCTCTTCCATAGCGTCAACATCGCTTCCTTCGAAAATTTCTGCATCGAAGGAGTAGGGCCTCTGCTGTGCAGGCCGGCGTGCACGGAGGCCGCGTCGTGCTGCGGAAGCTGACTCGCTCATTGGATCCGGTGAAGCTGTCGCACCATTTGAGTACCTTGTAGTGTTAGCGTTGGGAGTTCCGTGACTTTCGATCGTGGCTGTAATGCTGGGCGCTGATGCTCCTAGAGTAATGTTGTTAGAAATCGCGGAAGCTGTGCCATCGACAATATCTGCATCTTCATCCTGCACTGTCTCTTCAGACTGTTGCATGTCAGCTGACATTTTATGCAATTTGGAACATACTTACGAGAACTTTCTTTTTCGGTGTTCTTCTCGTGCTGAGCTTGAGGATCGTCTTCTTGTAAGGGTTGTGGGAATGTTCCTGTCGTTGCGGACTTCGGAGCTGCTGATCAGTCAGTAAAATATTCATGAGGGTACTGAACGCTTTTGGTAAACAGTTCAGAGTCACTGGGTGTGCTGCTGACACTTGGTCGTTTCCATGTGTTCACCGGGAAAAGTAAAAGGTGGGGCAGTGTGACTCGAAGTCAGATGCACGACGTACCA